GGTAATAAACAACTCGGTCACACTCACCATCAGCCACTGAATGTGTGATGACTGTTAAGAATATCTCCAGGTTGTTGTGATAGATTCTCTGTGATACAAGGATGATGTGTTAGTGAGCTGTGTTGTTTTCCGTATCAGACTTGATGCATCAGTTATCATGAGTGTGTTGCAACTAAATAAAACAATTATTTACATGTTACATTTTGAGAACACTGAGACATGTCAAGTTAAACAAGTAAATAGTTTTTATCATTAAATTCAACAGTTTCACAAGAGAGCTGCGGCTTTGTGATGAAATATAACTTAGATCTCAACTTAACAAACACTGATAAGGGACTGCACACACATTTCCCTGATAAAAATATTCTTAACATCACTCTCTCTACAGTCTCAGACACTAGTGCATGTATCCCTATCATCATTTATTAATTTTGATAACAATCATTTCACTATTAATTGGTGGCTGACACTTGAGTTTTCTGACTTTCCATTGGTTTTCAATGTAACTGTAAATGCTTTATGTCCAATTGATCAAGAATCCAACTCTAATACTGTGTGTTATCGCTAGTGTGTGTTCCGAGGACGTTAGTATTTTTAAGTAGTGTGTAGTGTGTACATGACCGGTGGCCGACCTGGTCATGTCCGTGTGGTCGGAGTCAGAGGGAGCTGGTGAGGCGGAGGTGGTGGACGCTCTCGAACGTACCATGTCCTTTGTCGTTGACAGGTAGTGTATATTAAAGTTAAAATAATAATAATAAGTAAACTTAACTTAAAATTTAATTTATTTGTAAATTCTTGTTCTATGTTCCTTCGTTTATTTTGTGTTATTTTAAGACAGTTTCAATTTTAATCGAAGAGTGACGGTTTTCAGTTACGCATCATTGTATTTTTTTAATTAAAAATCGTTCAGTTATAGCTACAACAATTAGAAAACGTGTTCGAACCGATTAAAAGTCTGCGGTTGAAATGTTTCCTTAACTATGTATGTAGTTACTATTGGTTGTTTGGACGTACCGTTAATAGATGACATTTAATTGTATAATTAAATTCTCCATTTCAATAATGATTGTGGTTATGTTCTGAGATGCACACAAGCCAACCAATCTGTCACGTATAACTGTAGTATCCTTAATCAACATTTAATATATAAAAAGTATATTATTTTATTATTGCCGTCTTTTCCTTATTGTATCGTCTTGTTTCATTCCGCGGGCTGGAATCGCCTTCAGATGATTGAACCCAGTTGTGCTGTTTCTGTTATTTTAAATTATAAGTTATTTTACTTTTTAAATAATGTTGCAATATTTTTTATTATTTAGCTTTTCTTTTTTCAATTCAATAATCGTACTTATGTTTCATGGTATGATTATTATTTACAGTACATTTTAATTAAGAGTCAATTCTTTGTAAATCTCCCACCACCGTCACTCTAACAGAGTCTTCCCAATACATGTATAGGTTCGTTTTGATTGGCGTGTTTTCAATCGTGAAGTTGACGTCCAATAATCAGAATTAACCAGACTTGTGATAGTATAGTGTCCACTGCAGTGTGTGTGTGTGTGTGTGTGTGTGTGTGTGTGTGTGTGCACAGAAGACGCGGAGTGATGAGGACGATAAACATTCAATGATCTGTTCTGTGATACAATATTGTTAGCACGAGACATTTATCATCTAGATTAATGTCTCCATCAATAGTTCCTCGGTGGCCGGGTGTGTGTGTGTGTGTGTGTGTGTGTGTGTGTCTACTTAGTTATAAGATAGTATATAACTGTAGTGTTCATTATTTAAAATATAAATTATCTTTTTATTCGTATGATATTAAAATGTAACAGTTTGTCTTGATATCCCGTGCACATGATTCCGTCAAAGTAACGGAAAACTTCAGTTAGAATACAAATAAACAATAGGTAATTATAAGATATATTGAAATGTACTTAATAATGTTTCAATCGATGTCGCGTGATGTTGTACTCATTACGCTCGGTAACTTTCTTATCCGTACAAATAAATAAAATTGAAGTGTCAATTTGTAATTGCAAAAGAAAAGCCTTTAGATACATAAAAAAATTATATACATACAATACATCAGAATTAAATTTTTTATAGTTTTTGTCTGTTTGTCTCTGAAACGCCTGGATAGATTTTCATTGAAAAAAAACATTATTAAGCCAGCGCAGAAGCCTTTAAAATTAATGAAAAGTGAAAATAAATTATAGTAGAATGAAACTCATTAGAAAAGGAGGGGAATATTATAAAAGTTAAAGAAAAAATAATTTACGGGCCATCTGAGGTCGGGAGGGGTATGGGGATGGGTATTTAAGGGTAAAAAATGTGTTTTCTCGATTTCTGGCAAAACTAAAAGTCCTACGGAAAAATGTAATATGGCAAAGTTGTAGGTAATAAAAAGATCTAAAACTTTTGTACTAACATTTTTTTCACATAACCTCAAATTTTATGTGAAATATTCGAAAAACCAAGTTTTTGATTTTTTATTTTTATCTCTTACAAAAAACAATATTTTGTCACGAAATTTGATGAAAACTTTCCTTTTGATGTTACAAATACACTGTAACTTATTTGATTAGTAATATTTATTTTTTCAGCTTATTTTGAATAAATATCGAAAAATCAGCCTCATTTTCAATCGAAAAACCACCCGTCAAAATATCAGCTATTTTCAAAAATTTGGTATGATTTCAATTTGTTGAAATCTCTTTTTTCCGATGGTGAAGACTAAATATAAGTTTCTTACTTACAGTACCATTTTTGGATAAAATAATCATGTCTCTTTTAATGAAATGACACTCGACATCGTTTTGAAAATGCTCTTTCTAATTTATTTTTAACAGTTGTGTACTCCGGAAGTTCTCCAGATAGTCCTTATTTTAGGCAATTTACAGAAAATTGACATTAAGCTGCTAAAACTATCAAATCTTTGAAAATAGCTGATATATTGACGGGTGATTTTTCGATTGAAAATGAGGCTGATTTTTCAATATTTATTCAAAACTAGTTTTTGCCCGCGACTTCGTCCGCGTTAGTTTGGTCAAGAGTAATATATGTAGGTATAGCCGACCAGGCAAACTCTTTTCCATCTTAGAGGCTATGGCCTTTATTATTTATGAATAATCAGGTTTTTCCTGTTTCAATCAAACAGAATGATTGACATATTAGTTAGTTGTCAAATCTAATGTCAAAAAAAACTTTTGTATGGGATATAGAAAAGGACTGTTTTTAGGGTTTTCCCGGCAATTATTCAAAATTTTTCTTGCCTTTTAAACCTTCCCTGGACTTTCAGGAGTATTTCAAGACTAAAATTAGCCAAATCGGTTCAGCCGTTCTCGAGTTTTAGCGAGACTAAGGAACAGCAATCCATTTTTATATATATAGAAGATAAGCTGAAAAATAAATATTTCTAATCAAATATTACAGTGTATTTGTAACATCAAAAGGAAAATTTTCATCAAATTTCGTGACAAAATATTGTTTTTTGGAAGAGATAAAAATAAAAAATCAAAAACTTGGTTTTTCGAATTTTTCACATAAATTTTGAGGTTATGTGAAAAAAATGGTAACATAAAAGTTGTAGATCTTTTTATTACCTACAACTTTGGCATATAACATTTTCCCGTAGGACTTTTAGTTTTGCCAGAAATCGAGAAAACCCATTTTTTACCCTTAAATACCCATCCCCATATCCTTCTCGACCTCAGATCGACCGTAAATTATTTTTCCTTTTATTTTTTATATTATTCTCCTCCTTTTCTAATGAGTTTCATTCTACTATAATTTAATTATATTTTAAAAGCTATCGGCACTGGTCTATATACATAAATATAGTCTACTTTTTAAAAAACTCCAAGAAAGAGAAAGCTTCCGTGTAACGGTATTATTTTTCGGTAGTCTGGAAACTTCAGAAAGATAATGTTGCGTACCTCGAAGGATATTAAAAGGTTAATGACACTAAAGGAAGAATTGAATAAAAAATAAATAAAATATGTTTGTGTGTCGTCCTTCTTGGAAGTCATGTGTTTATCGCATTCATTTTATTATTTTTGCTAACAGCCAGCAGGAGACATGTTATCTGCTCCGTGTTAACGTGCTGGTAATACATACGGTTTTAACGTTTTATAGTAAATGTCTTGTTGCATCATATTTAATTTACAATTTAGACGTTTTTTATGCATAAACCGTATAAAACATATGAAAAATATAATTAGATAATAGAAAATCTCTAATATGCCAGTGTTCGCTTAGTTGTTAGACGATAACAAGTTGTAGCAATCTTTTCTCAACTCTCTACAACGAGAACCAGAACGACACGCAAACATTTATATTATGATTATTTGAATGTTGGTTTTGATCATTGCACAAATTATGTCGACTACAGCCGGAGATTCCAAAGTTACAAAATTAATTAATTTATTTATTATTAAAAATGAATTCTAATTACAATTTTCCGTTACAAGATTGAACGAAAAACTGAATTAAATATTTTTTAAAGTTTCATTCCAAATGCTTCTTCAAGCCGTGTGGTGTCGTATTTACCCCATTCCACTTCCATCAGTTCCGTGGTGTCAGCACTTGGTATTTAATATCATTTCTATACTATATGGTTTTTAACCTGACTTTGTCTAGTTATTAATGTAATAAAGTTATCTTGACGTAACACATTTGACTGGGACTATCAGAATGACAAAATGTTATTTATTGTATACACAACAGGCGTGGCTCTCAAATAACTCGTTGACAATGTAGCAACATTTCTTAAAAAGTTACGACATAATATTAAAATAATATTATTGATGACCTTCAGTCAGTGAATTTTAAACACTTTTTTGTAAATAATGAACATTCGTTTGTTTCGTTGTAATTTAAACTACACATTGTTGGAGGTCGGTAGAGGATCATCCTTGAGAGACGCATCCTTGTTGATGTACACGACCAGTTCATCGCCGACTCCTGAGTTGAGAGACTTCGTTCCGACCCTCTTATACTGACTGCAACTCGTTTGTCACCTCAGGTTAAACGAAGACAAGGAGAGGTCCCCGTGCCTGGCCGAGGGTCACGATACAAACAGGATGCTGGGCGCAAGGAGACGCATCTTCCTGGACGTGCTGATGGCGTGCTGGGGTCTCGGCACCTGGCTGGGCGTCAACGGGCTGTACGTGCAGCTGCCGCTGCTGGTGGAGCGGCTGCCCGAGGGCTGGGCGCTGCCCTCCTCCATGACGGTGGCCATCCAGCTGGCCAACGTGGGGCTCATCGCCTACGCCGCTATGAGGCGCCTGTTGCCGCGCGCCCCGGACTCTCCGTACATCTACATCCTCCTGTCAGTCGGCGCCCTGGCCCTGTACCTCAACTCCTTCCTGTATTCGGAGACCGCGGTCCTAGGAGGAACGGAGCGCTCCGTGTCCTTCCTCGCCCTCACATTCTTCGCGGCCCTCGTGGGTTGCACGAGCTCAGTGTTGTTTTACCCTTACTTAAGACATTTCCGAGACGTGTATCTCGCTACGTACCTAGTGGGCGAGGGTTTGAGTGGCTTCCTCCCGAGTCTGTTCGCCTTGATCCAGGGGGTCGGCGGTAATCCGGAATGCGTTCTTTCCTCCGATAACAAGACCATGGTGGCCGTATATCCTCCCGCGCGGTTCAACTCGACCGTTTTCCTCATCTTACTGGGATGTTTAGCGACGGTCAGTCTGGTGAGTTTCTCTCTAATCGACAATCTATCGTGTTTCCTATCGGAGCGCGTCCGTCCGTCGGAGGTGGCCAAGGAGGAGGAGGCGAGCACGTCGGAGTCCGTGTGCCAGCCGTCGTGGCTGGGCGTGTTGGTATTGACGGCGTGCCTGAACGCGCTGACCAACGGCGTGCTGCCGTCCATACAGTCGTACTCGTGCATGCCGTACGGCACCAGCGTGTACCACCTGGCCGTGTCCCTGGGCTCCATGGCCAACCCGGTGGCGTGCCTGGCCGGCGTGTGGCTCAAGCCGGTCCGCGCGCGTGTGCTGGCGGCCATGTTGTGCGCCTCCCTCATACCTCTGTGTTACATCATCTCCACGGCGCTGCTCAGCCCGGCGCCGCCTCTCCGCGCGGAGACCAGCGGCCGGGTGCTGGTGGTGAGTATGACCGACTTAACAACTTACTACAGACATGTAGTCCGGCCAATTTAGACATTCGAAGTTACATAAAGTCCCAACAAGCTGAATTTCTGTGAAATTGTTCAAAACATAATTATAAACGATTTCTAGAAGTTTCAGACAAAAGATATAGACCATATAATTATCTTTAACAAATGTATCAATACTTATTTTCTTACGAGCCACCGTTTCTGAGATAAAACAATTCAAAAAGTTATAAAAGTTGTTATCGTCATAATATGCATGAGTACGACACGTATATACATCTAGAGTTGTTATATTTTGTATATATAATAGTCAGTGGTGGCTTAGTGGTTTAAAGGCCCGCCTCTCATGCACGAGGGTGCGGGTTCGATCCTGGCCCGTGCCAATGAAGTATTTTTATGATAAAACTTACCGCTTTGCTGAAATTCGCGAAAAACTCATTTTTTTGACCTTTGACCTAGAATAAAAAAAAATTCCTTACAGGGGAATAATGGGGAACTTCTAGAAATCGTTTATAATTATGTTTTGAACAATTTCACAGAAATTCAGCTTGTTGGGACTTTATGTAACTTCACTCTCATTTTTTGGTCTAAATTGACCGGACTAATGCGTTCATATTGTCAATAACAAGTTACTATCCTAGCCAGGTAAGGTAGTGAAACTTAAAAAACAAAAAAATATATATCTTTAAGTAGTATCCAGTGTTAGTAGTATATTAGTATGCAGTAATGCCCAAAATAAAAGTTAGATGTAGTTTGTTTCCATTAATTATTATGTTCAGTTGGTCAATCTTACTTATGTCCCCGGTCTATGTCATGTGTGTGTTGTTCATGTACCGTGTGTCTGTGGCAGGTGTCGTCGTGGGTGCTGGTGTGCGGGGTGATGTCGTACGGCCGCATGTGGGTGTACGGCTGGGCCCGGCGCGGCGGGGCGACCGGCATGCGTGCCTGCGGGGCCGCCACCCAGCTGGGCTCGGCGCTGGGCTCGCTGGCCCTGTTCGTGCTCGTCAACTACACGCCCCTGTTCACTCAGCCCGACCTCTGCCCCGCCACCTAACACTAGTTCCTGTATCACCGCTCGTTAGTATTTTGTTAATATAAGAGTGACGCGAACAGAGGGACAGGTCTGTCAGTTATAGTAGAATTTTCTATTATATATATTTTTTTCTATTTATTCAATTTTTTAGACATCTGTAGTGAAACTTTGCCTTATTTTAATTGTATGTTAGCTAACTCCACCCTGCCATAGACTGTATCATACTATCAGATGAGTGTGTGAGGTGTGTGAGCCGACACCGACGCCTGTATCAGTACTTACATAGTGTGTATCGCGAGGAGAGTCGCGTGTCTCTATATTATGAATTATTTTCTTTTATTTAAATTAAATTCAGTAGTATGTTAGTTCATCGTCCGTGTTGTTGTATTGTAATCTTAATGAAGTGAATGTTTATTTTTATCGCTTCTGTAAGTCGGTGCATGTTATCAGATGTTATGAGATGAGTCTGTATCGTGTTTATGATCTATATATGTACTACAGTCACAGTAACATATAGTTGTGACGGACTGTATGCTGACACACGGACACACGGAGGACCGGTGATATTAGATGTAAGACGGAATCATTGTAATTATATTATAGTCAAATACATAGGTTTAAGATATTATAATAGACAATGTGGTGGAAGTGACGTGGCGGGCTTTCTGTTATATTTCCTTTCGTAATTTTATCAAATGAATGTTTTATAAATGTTACGCTCGTTTCGTTTCGCTCGCGGGAGCTGCTTTATAAATTTTATTGTAACAACTGTATCTACTTAATGTGATCTTTAGTACTTACTACTGATGTGATACTCGTTCATGTGTAGTGTCTATGTCTAGTTCATGTAATGATACAGACATACACACGCTCCCACATCAGTTATAACAGTTGAAAACCTAATATATATATAATGTTGAATAAGTGCTTTTGAGTGTTTTATAAATATGAGATGGACAATAAACACTGTTACCAAAACTGACCGCCTTTTATTTTGATTTTTGAACCATTTGTATTAGTTATTCACCGGGAAGTAGTGTGAACTGGTGGTGTGATGATGAGGGGTGACGCTCCGCAGGTTCACGGAAATTAACAATTACGCAGGAGGGAAAAACTAATCATCATGCTCTTTGTTTCACTAATCATACAAGATTTTCTTTTTTAAGATTTGGCATTATATACTGGGGTAACTGTTGTCAAAAGGAAACTATTTTTAAGGGTCAAAAGCGATGCCTTACATCTATTTTTAACTTGAAGGTCACGGACAGCTGTATACCGAATTTTAGGAAATATAAGCTTTTAACATTTCCTTGTTTATATATATTTGAAATTGCAGTCTTTGTGAAAACAAATAAGTACCTTTTTCCTTCATTAAGATATACGAGAAATCGCGCTATAAATCTAAGGTCTCAATATCATAATCATTTATGTACAGGCAACTACAAAAGTGCTTCATTGAGAAGTAACATATTGTCTATACTATATATAACAAAATACCTAATGTGATAAAAGAATTAACTTATATAAAATTTAAAAAAGTTTTGTTTTCTTTTCTAGTTAACAAGTGCTATTACTCAGTTAACGATTTTGTAATGGATAAGGCATAATTTTGTAAGAAATTGCTGAATATAAAATGTATAAAATATATAACTTAAATAATCATCTATCTAACTATCATTGTATCACAAATCATCGGATATATAATAAAATTGTATAGTTAATTTTAATTATGTAGTTAAATTTAATTTATAATTTCAATTGTAGGTACGAGTATTGTTGATTTGACTTTGTTACTTTATTGAATTGTTAATTTTCATCTGTAAAACACCTAATATGAATTTATAATTATAATTTCATGGTTAATTTAATTTCCAATTTTAATTGAATAGTTAATTTTAATTTATAATTTAAACCTAATATTTGCATGCCTTATGGTAGAATGTACCTGGAAGTTTACTAAAATCTATTGTACACCTATATTCTGTACCTACATTCAGAGCAAATAAATATTAAAAAAAAGAATACTATTATCACATGATCAATCTATCAAAAGTGCTTTATAAAAACCATTTAAAGAGTAGTGTGACTGTTCATGACTCCGATGGATGTTATTTTAGGACATTTGAAAGACGTGGATGAGTTTGATTTAAAGCAGCGAAATCTTATTGAAGGCAGTAAACGTCGTAATGATTAGATAACAGTTTATGATGCCGCGATATTACTAGCGACACAGAGTTGATAATACAAACTTATACAAACAATTTAATTAGAATATTGCACATACTAATGTATGTATATACATATTTATTAATGAAAGTGCATAAGTAATATGAAATGAATGTACGTAGATAATGTTTAGACATTGGTTCGTTGATATCAGAAAGGACTGTGTGTGTGTATGAATATATATTAGAAGTAATGAGACTTTCCCTAGTATTCCTATAAATGAAACTTATATTTTCGAATACTACGCGTATTACAAGTAAATAAAACATCGGAAGTATTTTTTTTAATAATAAAATAACCGTAATCGGAAAACATTATTTTTATTTATATATGAGATATATTTTAGACCATGACCTGTGACAACAACAGACTTCTCTGTTCACATACAGATAGTTTTGATAAACAACATCATTCAGATATACAATCCAATGCAAGGAATGTGAATCATGATGAGATCTAAAAGTTTCACGAGTATTCATTTAAATGAAACTTATATTTTTCGGATGTACTAGTACATACATCTCGTCTGCCCGTGATCACGGTTGCTGTAAAGTAACTGAAACGTCGGGAGTATGTAGTTTATAATCAAAATAAAATAAAAATCGTGTAGTAAATACGAAAATATTAGTTTCACTTAAATGTGAATCATGACCAATATTTGTGTATGTGCGGATTAATGAAAGTATTAAATATTATCCCTCAACAAGATACTCATGAATTAAGTCAGAACTCCTCTAGTGCATAGTTTTTCTGTACATTGGTAGTCAATACATCGTGCCAGCGAGGCCCCTGACTAGAGAGAGTGTTTTGATAAACGTAACACAAAGAAATGATATGTCTTGTACCTTTAATAATATTATTAAAGAACTGTCGTTAGTTCTCGGTTACTGTCTTCTCCATGTTTAAATATTATTCATAGTTACATAATACATAGGTAATAACAATATGTATATATCGTATTCTTATACATGTTCTGTGACTCGTGTTCACAACTCACTGGACTGGTGAGAGTCGACACACAATCGTTTAAACTTTAAAGTTTTCATTCTGCTCTGCTTTTTCTAAACCAATATCTTCACCCTACATATGTACACAACGTTTTAGAGTTTTTGGTTTGTAAATAATAACATGGGTCATATAATTATAATTATGAATTAAAAATTGAAATTATCAAACTGAAACGGATGAAAGAACAATAATTATCATTGATTTTTTATTGGATTCTTATCGGATTTCTAAGAATTTCTTAAGTTGTTTACATTTTCAATAGACTAAATTTTAATTTGTATGTAGAGTACGTACATTACACATCAGTTTTTTTTATAACATATATTACAATTCCGTCACGTATTTTGTAAGAGCACAGGCATGTGATTATTTTTACTGCAAAATCACGGTTAAATATACATATTAGCACTTAAGCTGAGATGTTCAATATGTTATGAAAATAAATCTACTCGTGTATAGTTTGAATGAAAAAATATTTGACTTAAAAGATGTTCTGAAACTACACGCTCATCTGAACGTTCGAGAGACGAGTGATACTCGTAATAATACGAGTGGTAAATATTAATGTTGCAGGAGTTCAAGCTTTGTTAATTATTTTCTCTTCTCCTGTTTTTGTTATCTGTAATTAACTAACAGTAACTACAATGAAGTATAGGTTAAGCATTATTAAAATCATCATTTTCTAATAATATTTTTCTCTGAACCAAGACTAATAGCCTAGCCTTGCTCCAGTCACCCTCACCACTTATTCAACTTTCATTTAAGGTTAATGTATGTGAAGGAAAGAACGAAGGTACGCAATGACTCGACATATGTTGATGTTTATTGTTTCCTGATAAACGAAAATCGACAATTTTATTGCTCATGGGATTTATGTATATAAAGATAAGACGTTATTGTTTCCGAGGACTGAACGAATTAATACAAGTCATCGCATGTGTGTCTGCGTATCTATAGCTTTATTGGTTTCATTGACACTGTACATCATTGATACAGTTTAAAGATGTATCACGTATATTTTTCACGCTTCTATTGCATTAATATTAACTTTAAACCATTCGATTTTAAAGTCCGTTTCTCGATAAGAATACCTTGTCTTAAATCAGCTGATTTAAGAAAATTGCAAATACAGAATTCAGCGGCTGTATAACCGACTACACTATTAATTGTGTATTATGATAAAATAAAATAGTAATTTTAATTCTATTGAATACGATTTATAATTAAAGCGATCATATTTATAATATACTCCAATATATGTCTCATCTCCTCTACAACATATGAATGTTGTCGCATCTTCTTATCTGAACTCCATTAACTCTTAGGATCTGTCTCTGAGTTCACCTTTTCTGTGTTGTATTTTTTCTGTCCCTAATAATAATAAAATCCGTTTACTGTCAGAAACATAGTAACCATTGAAATACATAGGGATAGAATAAAGAGAACATAATACATAATATGCTTACACAGACAATGGGAGCTGTCTCAGCTGCATGTTTCTCTGGACCGTGGCCCTGGGAAACGCTGGTTTTCAGTCAGTCCCTTTTACAAATACTTAAAATAGGAGTAACATTATCTCTTACTACAATTACCTCTTTTACATTAACTCTTACTACAATCTTAACTCTGTTCCTGCTCCTATACTCTACTATTTCAGTCTTTGTACTTACTGGATAAATATTTAAAAGACTTATTCGATGTGTGTATAATTTTTGTTTAAACGAAACAAACTAAGAGTGACACTGTATGTGCGGGTTTGAGTAACAATGTTGTATGTATAACTTTAACATACAAATGTTAAAGTTACAGTCAGTTTATTTATAAGTGTAGGTGTTAATATTGTAGTTAACACACCGGTCTCAACAACACTGTCTTACTAATTTGTTTGTGTTGTTGCGGGATGGACTGCTTTTGATTATAATTACAAAATAAAAGACTTAAGTATTATTATACATGACAGATAATAAACATAATTCCATTTTAGTTATAATTCATTGTCACTATACTTCACAAGTCCAGCGATGATTGATCGTTTGCTTTTCTTTTCAAGTTTCTTCTATTTGAGTTCTATTAAAAGAATAACATAAAAAATGTATATGGCAAAACATAATACTAATATTTATAATTTTTGTAAGACCAAACTCGTTGATCTGGTAACAGAAGTTATATTTGAGCCAGTCATAACTACAGAACTGTATTAGGTGTTGCTTGAAAACGGTATTGCCGTTTGTATGTCATTTAAGAAGATTACATTTATAGCATCAATCAATGAGTCTCCGGGTACGTGCGCTGGTGAGCTCCGCGCTGGGACTCATCACGATGTTTATGATCTTCAACTTCGGCGGTGTCTTCACTGATACAGAGGACTGTCCATTGACACAGACGTAAAATAATTCCTAAAACATCTGAACATTCGATCTCAAACTCTCCAATATTGATATTTAAGCGAGAGCGAAAAAAGTCCTCGTTGTGAATACAATGTACAACTTGTATATAATTTCTTAACGACAAATAACTATTTATTTATAATGATGATATTGAAAATTATTTAAATAAATTGTAAACTATATAATATTTGTAATTGTAGTAAATTCATTAGTAGTATTATTAGTTTATTCAAAAATATTTGCACGCCAAATCGGCAGAATATGTTGGACCACTGTAAATGTATGAAATACCTTTGCTAACCCATATTCGAGAAAATAAACTATTATTATTATTATATATTATCATATGTAGTAGTATATACATAACATGTTAGTGTGTTATCCTGGTGTCCTGGTGTCCTCTATATCGAGTATTATTATATAAGTTCCCGTTTTCTGATTTATTACTTTGTTTTATTTATTGATATTCGTGTTTATCGTTGAGTCTTATCGTTCTCGTGTCACGACAACTGTCGCTTTCAATCTATTGTGTCATGTTTATTGTTATAATCTTTATGAATCTAATCAAATGGAAAATTAAGTAAATATTAACGATAGTAACAGCACGTTCATGTTTATCTACATAGGTACATAGTCTTCCGAATCAAACAGCCAATTTTTATGTATACCTCTCAGTATAAAATATTGTATACAGTAAATAATTCAGAAACAGTTCACGTAGCATTTATTTAAAATTGATAGTTATGACTTTAAACAAATATTAATATAATCATTAGTTCCAAGTAGAAAATGTAAAAGCAAATAAATTATATTAAGTAATATCGGACTGTTATAATGAAGGTAATTTGTTTGTCTTGTAATAGACTCGTGCGACTAATGATCTGCAAACACTGTGCTCAGTCTAAGTATCACACTACATACGGAGATTTTTTTATTTCTCTTTGAATAATCTACGTTAATATGTTCTTAAATTTGTGAAGATATATGAAAGAAAAACTGTTAATTCTCAGTACAAACAGCTTACAACTGATGTTAATCTTTCTGTTAGTGATATACCTAGAGCGAATTTAATTTCGTGGATTTAATTTATGAATGTTTTGAAAACATTAAGGTCACATTTATTAAAACATTATTTTAATTGCATTACTTTGCTCTCGTACATGGATAGAGAAAACTATAAAGAATTTTCCGTGTGTGGTCATCAATGAGTCCACAGCGATAGTTTATGAATGATAAATTTAAGAGAATAATGTTCTACCATCGATTTCTCAATTAAGGTTTGCGGTGATTTAAAAGGGCAATATAAAAGATGTTTACAAATCAAGCCGGTCCCTACTGTTGAAGTTCATATTCGAAGATGGACTTCATCAACTTCATCGTGGCCTTCTTTGTCTCTAAGAATGTTAGACTGCTGACAGCCTTCGTCTGTTGGAGTCCAGGTACGGTAAATATTCCGTTTTATACAAATGGGTCATGTTAGTCATAAAACTATGATAAAGGTCCGTTAACATTTTTATGCTTATATCTCCTCATAGAGGACGTAAGGTTAATCTCCCAGCGAGGCGTGATGGCTGGTTTGCGGGTGCGCGTGTTTCCATGTACCCATCCGCCGGCTGACCTGCCACCGTACCGTGACTACAGGGAGGGAGTACTCCTCGACGTGGGCTGCCACAACGCCACACACGTACTACATCAAGTATCTGTGATCTCTTAGTTTGTCACACTGAACACAGCTATCATTAATAATAAATACTAATTCGTTTTTATTGTAATTTGCAGGCATCAAGAAATCGTGCGTTCAATCTTCGTCATTCTTGGCTTCTGATCGACGCGTCCCCCTTCAATGTTACTTATGTTGAAGAGACACTATCAGCCGTGCTGGTCCTCCCTGATGGAGACGTCACCTGGGTGTCCGAGGATCGTATGGTAGACGTGTACAGGGTCAAGGCTGACCAGCCGCTAGTCGTCACGGATTTGGGAATGAAAAGGAGTCAGCGAGAACTAGAAGGACTATGGAGAAGTTTACGTACAACAGTAACAAGAAGGAAAAATCTACACAATGTGTATCTGAAGTCAGCAACTATAGTATGTTGTGTTAAAATAATATATAACTCTTCTTATTTTATTATACATATCAAGTAACAGAGCACAAGTCCCTATTTCTAGGTAACACAGCCTCAATACTTCAAAGGATGGTCAGATCTGTCAAATCGTCAAATAGACACGTTCCCAAAACTTACTTATCCAATACTGAAACTGTGCGGAGAAGATCTTAACTTTAGGTAAAAATAAACATCAGCTACAAGCAGTACAGAAACGAAAAAGAAGTAGAAACAAATGTTTATGTTTATTGAAGGTTCAACCTGAAACAAGTGGACCTTTACGGGGAGGAACGGAACGGCAGCTTCGACGGCCTGGTGGGTCAGATGCAGCACGAGGGGCTGGAGGTCGGGGTCACGTCCATGTTCATGCGCAAGGACCGGTGGCGGGTTCTGCATTTCTGCGCCGAGACCGTCGAGTTAAAGTAATAGTAATTTCTTACAAAAAAGAAAATACTCTGCCCCTATTTCTATTACAATGTCAGAAAGCCGTACTTGAATTTTATGTCATGTGTCACGTGCTTGTTTTACTCTGTTTTTTTTTTAGAAGCCCTGAGCCGAGGGTTGTTACATGTGTCAGTATTCCATCAGAGGCGCGTTCCTGTTCCGCCAGCCGTCCCGCTCGTCCGTGTCCAACGTGTTCGCGTTACCCTTCAGCCGCGGCGTGTGGGCAGCCTCGGCAGCTGTGTTTGCGGGGGCGGCCACCCTGCTGGCTGTGTTCGGCCTGGTGGCGCGGCGGACGGCGCTCGACCCCGTCGCTCAGAGACTGACGGTTCTCGAGAGTTTGACTTACGCTGTCGGCACCATCTGCCAACAAGGTCATACGATACAATGAATGTAAAACAAAAGAGTGGTTCTAATTATTAAAATGTGTATTTAGTACAATATAGATAATTCCACAAAAAAACACTAATTAATTGTTATCATGTTTCAATGACCTTATTTTTTTCATAAGCATTGTACTTTCCAAAGTAAAAACTATTGATTATTGTTATTACAATAGGTCACAGGGTTTATTCTTGGTACATTTTATATCAATTGGTGTCTAATTTCATTCTTACGGCTGTAGAACATGGAAGAATTGTAGATCTGTGGATGATTTGAATCATAAATAGGTATTTGATAGTAGTTAACTTCTATGAGTACTTTTAAATCATCACGTTTAATATATTATTAACATGAATATCTTAATCCCTAAAACCTGTATCAGTTCACATCGTTTATTGAGCGCTCCTCCCGTGTGTCCCAGGTTCCTACCTGTGTCCCAGCCTGTGGTCCATGCGTCTCCTCATGTTCTGTACTCTGCTCGCCTCCCTGTTCGCCTTCACGTCATACTCCGCCAAGATCGTCGCTATCCTCCAGGCGCCCAGTGACGCCCTGCGGACTATCGATGACCTCGCGCGGTCTCCGATGGACCTCGGCGTGCAGGAGACTACTTATAAGAGAGTCTATTTTGCTGTGAGCCACTCTAGTTTGGTTTTAATGTCTGCGGGACTTGTCAGGGCCTTGAGTTAAATCTGTGGTTTCAGGAAAGCAAGGACCCAGCAACTCAGGCCCTGTATCGTCGTAAGCTGCTGCCTCTCGGGGAGCGCGCATATCTCAGTGTTGTTGACGGCATCGCGCGCGTGCGCACCGGACTGTTTGCATTCCAGGTGCGGTTTATTTATTATTCTAAAGAGAGCTAGTTATTGGCACATATATTTTACTTACATTGTTTATAAATTATATATTTTTTTGTCGTTTATATGCAAAAATATTAAAAAGTAGTTGAATATAAACATTGTGTTATGGTGATTTTATTTATTTTATTGTTCACGAAGGTAGAACAGAGTTCCGCTTACGACATCATCAGTCAGACGTACACGGAACGAGAGAAGTGTGACTTGAAGGAGATCAAAGCCTTCACCCTACCCATGGTGGCCGTGCCCGTGAGGAAACACTCCGGGTACAAGGAGCTGCTGGGGGCGAGGTAGATGTGGGGCTTGATGAACATACGCTGGACTAAATAATGTGCTTGATATGTTTGGATAGCAATGGTTTAAATGTGATCTATCTACGAGTACTTAAAAGCTTTATATTAAATCATGCTTTGATGTTTTTGTCTCTTGTATCAAATGTAGACAGATAGCAACTCTGTAAAACATGACTTTTGTTCATGTTGTGTATGTTGTGTTCTAGACTCCGGTGGCAGCGCGAGGTGGGTCTGATGGATCGTTTCCGTCGCGTGTGGATGAGCGCGCGGACCCCGTGTGACGCGGCCCAGGGAGGGTTCGTGAGTGTGGGCCTGGTGGACGTGCTGCCCGCGCTGCACGCGCTGCTCGCCGGAGTGCTGCTCGCCACTATGCTGCTCCTCGTGGAGAAAGCTCACCACACTGTTATGACTCGCGCTTTATAGATCATGCTATGTAAAATGTTATAGGAAGGCTTCGTGTATTTTTTTTGCATATACCAGCTGTAGTAGTGTTTAAGTTAGAGATAAATCACTTTAGTTTCAACGGATTTTTTTAAATAAACAAGTGTCATAACTAATAACAAATTGTTATATTTTGAAATAATACTTAGATATATGGCTCCTAATGCCTTGAGACCACTATGTTGAGTATTAAGGTGTCCGACATTATTACCAGGTACCGAAATTAAATTGTTAAGTATTTTATTCAAGTGACAACATATTAGTATTGACTCATTTAACAATGATCAGTCTCTCCTCGAAGATACTTCTTACGTGAATATGTACTTGGAGTATAGTCGTCATTTCATTACAACTGATAACTTCACACAGTTTATAAAGAAATGGTTTTTTTGATATAATTTCAAATGTTGTGTAATATATTGGCAGAATATTTCAATTTTCCGGTAATCACTAAAAACCTTCGATATATCATCTTTGTCCTCATAGAGAGAGACGTCACCCCTACAATACATACATATACTATATAGTACAATACACTTTCATCGGTTTAAAGGTTCTGAGACATGAACAGCAAAGGATCAGAGGAATCATTTGGACCACTTGGAGATCCTCATAAACAAAAGTTTATTATAAATTGATGAGTGACCGACGCCTGATGTGTTGTATATTAAAAGACTATGCCAGGTCAGAGCTGGTCTGCCCGGCGCGTAGCGTACCGCGCGCGCCTCAAAGAGCCGTCGGACCGACACAGATGGGGCCCTAGAGCCGATGCCTGGCCAGGTCGCGGGTGTAAGCGAAATGATGTACCGCGGCCAGGCTCGGAGCAGGAGTAGGTACGGGGCGTTTTTAGTCAGTAAGAGTCTGACACTCTCTCTTGCCCTACCCAGGCAAGAGGGGTCATTTGATGATTTTCCCCTTAAAAAAAAAAAGGTCAGAGCTGGTCTGGTAACTAGTCTATATCATCTCCAAAGGGGCAGAATGGACATTAGAATACTTAGTTCAAGAATAATTTAAATATTTACTTTTTAGTAGATCCATTCAAGAGATTATTAACATGACAATATTTTAACAATGTTTCAATGTTACACACGATATTAATAGTTTATACTCTAATAGAAACTATTGCTCACACAAAAACAGACAAATATAATGAAAGACTTTTTAAATTATTACAATAATTATTTTAATATCAAATTAAATTCATGTCACTCCAATGAAATATATACAGATGTTGACTTATTGTGTTTAAAATATATCTAGCGTTATACTATAGATAGGACAACATTTCAGTTCCTTCTAAATGGTTTCTTGTGGACTTTCTTCCTCCTCTCAGACCTTCCGAGTCACATCCTAGATGTAGAGACACACGACTACAGTGAGCGTGAATCCGAACAGAGCCAGGAGTCCATAGTCGAGCAGCCGGGCCGCCGCCGCCCACGCGCTGTACTCCACGCCGCTTGACTGGAAGTAGTCATCATTAAATATACATGAAGCATGAAATAGATCATAATCATCATCTTCATCATCATCGGCCTATTAGAGCCCAGTACTGAGCAAAGTCCTCCTCTCACATGCAGAAGGTCAGAGCATTAATCACCACGCTTGCTCAAGAAGGGTTGGTGATTTCAAACTTATAATTTGAAATTTTAAGTCCAGGTTTTCTTACGATGTTTTCCTTCCTTTTCTATCAGTGGTCTCCAAATACTCTTTATTTTATTTATTTATTTGAGGATCCCCAACAAAAGATACACAGTATACAATTTTAGACTAATCAATACTAAATATTACAGAAATTTGTGCTCTTTCAATTACAGGAGACCACAGCTTGCTAATTAAATATGACTAAGCGAAACAATATGAACTTAAAGTTAAAGTTAAAAATATTTAAAAAACAAAAATATTAAAAACAATTATGTATATATCCTGAACTTGTTTAAAAATAAAAATAAAGTAAGTAAGAATAATAAGTTATAAAAAAAAAATAAGACTATTATATTCTAGGATTGGACGGACAAGTGCATTGAATAATAATATTTTAATTGATGTTTTTTAAATTCTTTGCTATTTCTTAGTATGAAACCCAACATTTTAAATGCTTTGGATACAATATTTAAAACATGAGTGTTGTATCTAAGCCCTGAATCTACAGTAACACCTAGATCTCGTACGGTATTTAACTGTTCGATCTGTTCGGAATTATATAATATTTGTTATGATTCACGGTTTTGTAGCGAATAACGTATACGTATATATATGACTCTGAAGAATCACATTGGTACTTGCCAGGTTTCAAATCCACGCCCTCATGCACGAGAGGCGGACCTTTAACCTCTAGGCCATCACAACATTGCAATATATACGGAGATATTAATGTAATAAAAACTAGCCATCGAACACATAGGTTTAAAGGTCTGAAAGTTGCTGACGTCATTATAATAAATCAGTTTACTGTACATATGTAGTTAACAAACCTCTGAGGGACCAAGACTACAGAAGGTGGAGGCGGTGGTGAGTAACTTGCGTAGGGCTGGTGGAGGAGCAGCGGAACAACGACTCACGCGGAGCACTAGCGCTGCGCCCCCCGCCGCTAGGCAGGACACGCAGCTCACCACACAGAACAGACTCATTACTAGCGGAGCGGAGGACGCGCTGCCCAGGCGAGGGAGGCTGGAGATGAACCTGAAATGACTGATGTATTAAGACACACCGTAGGACACACATGGAGAATATTTCGTGCTAGTTATACTCACCACAATGAGACAATTAGAGCGGCCACAGCACACAGTGGAGCGCGCATGTCCGGCGGCATGAGGGCGGCTCCGACCAGCAGCAACACGGAGGTGGCGAGGATGGCGCTGGCTGACAGGGAGTGAGCCGCCGCGCGCCGCCGGAGACTCAACGACCAGGACAACACGCTGTGGTCGGCGTCCAGCCGGCGCCAGGTAGACTCCGCGCTCTGGATCGATACCAGCTCCCACGCTCCTGACTCGAACACGGCGGACCGCTGGAACGAACATTACGTCACATTAATTTGGAAAACTAACTTTGTGTATCATATAAAAGAATCTTCTGTTGTGATTGAACCTCTTTCTTGCTGACGGTCAGTTTCAACTCCTCCACGGTGTGTGACTGTGAACCAAACTTGAACACGGCCCGCTGTTCGTCGTGCGGCCAGTCTGTTAGTGTGAGCGTGAGGGGAGCCAGCAGGTCCACGGGCGCGGGCCACGACACGAGCCCGGCGCTGGTGAGGCGCGCCCGGGGACCCGCGCCGCTGTCCACGCCCGCCGTGGCCGCGCTCAACACGCGCACCTCGGGCCGCCACAGACGCTCCGCTGATACTAACGTACTATCACAGCCCCAAGCGGTCGCGTTCCAGGACAGACGCTTGTCCTCCCAGCTCTGAAAGGATTCAACGCGCATAGATAGAGGTGCAGTAGACGAGTGAGAGACGGTAAGATCGTCTGATGACAAGTTTGAAATCGAATCCTTCAATTGCAATGATAAAAACTTATATTTATTGTATTTTTATATATAAATGAAGTCACAGACCAGGTACATGGTGGCGAGCAGCCTGACGGTAGCGTCTTTCTCATTGACGGTGGCATGTTTGACCTCCAAGGCGGCCGAGACGTCCGTGGGAGCGGCCGGGGGAGATGCTCGCTCGTACTCCGCCAGCAGCAGGTCCAGCTGGGTCGACAGCTGGGTCACGTTGTTGCACGCGCCACATGACCACTTTACACCTGACAGATACACTCACACGGTTCAAACTCAACACTATACATATATATTTATACATATAAAAAATTTTGCACGTAAACACTGAACAGGATTTTACTTCCATACCCACATCATGAGGGTCGTTACTGCTTACCGTATAGAAGGAAGATGATCGTGATGAACTTGTGTTCGGGAAACATTTTAAAGTCTGGCTGCCGGGGGACGCGGGCTCGAGCTGTCGCTTCCAGTCAGGTGTTACACACTTATATGATGAACTTATATTGTTTAACAATAATTATCTGTCTAAAACTTGGAAAAATAACCATACTTCACTAGTATTAAACAAACATTAAGGAAATAAAGAGTCTTTTAAAGACAAATAAAATGATTAATGTAATATATATTAATAGTGTATAATATTTGTTGGTGACGTATAAAATGTTGTCGGCTACTGTAAGCGCCGAGCCGTGGGCGCCGTATCGCGGCCCGCGTCCGGCGCCGCAAGGACAATCCTAATGCAGTGAACGATTGTTGAAAACATCTGTAACTATTTTATTTAATAAAAAAAACTTCATAAACCAACGTATTCCGTAGATGAAACATATATTTTAAGCTAGGACTAGGAACAGAAGTTCTTATTTCTAATACGATATTGTATAGACTATGGAGGTAGCTTCAATAAATTATAACAAAAAAATTATAAGTTCAGCTGTATGAGAGACTAAAACTGACCAGTTGCAGTGAATTGTGATATTTTAATAAAGTTAAAGAGAAGTCAAAATGAACGATGGATTTTAGTAACATAGAATATAGAAGCAGGTCGTGTAATAACTTTTCTATGTAACATACATGACTATATAGTCATTCCAATATATTATTTTACATAATAAGAACAGTACTAACTGGTCATGGCACACAAACAGTTCATTGTGATATATATTATGAATCATGTCTACTATAATATCATTTTTAGTCTTCTAATAGTGATTATATCTTCTGAGTTTTACCAAGATTTTTTTACTAAATTTGTGTATTTTTGTGAGTATGCATGAATATTTTTTTAAATAAAGGACATGAGATTGATGGACTGCATCCAGGTGACTTGAATCATGAGGATCCTCGGGAAGGTGTTCAAAAATATATTTACATAATTAGCTCCTTACTTAGTAAACTATAAACATTGTTACATCACAACAAAATGATGAAGCTTCGTTAGGACTGGCGAAGTCGAGAGAAATAGGTTAGTCACAAAATAGGTACGAAGATAAAAAAAACATAAAATCTGAAGGAACTTTATTGATATTGAGAATTGTAACAAGTTTGACTCTTATTAAATATATAAAACAAGAAAAATGTACAAACAGAAACAACGAAATAATATGAATGTAAGAAAAAACAAACAAGTTTAACGAAATATATAAAAAAAATGATATTAATTATTATTGACGAGGAACTGGAACCGATTAAGAGAAAACGACCAGAAATAAACAAATCACGTTATAGTCACGTTAAATAGAAGGCAGTATAGACTTGGAGTCTGTACGTTAAAATATATTAAGAATGAACGAGTGGAAACTCTGGGTCTGACTTTACAGATATACAAAGCTTATACTTGGGTATTAAACATATTTAAGCTTCGCTTCATCAAAACTCTTAGTATGAACAAAAGTATTACGTAGTATTGGCGGTTTTAAAGACCTTTTTTGAATTCCCAAAATAAAATATAAACTTTAAACAACTCCTTGAAATTAACATAAAATTAAGGGAAAACCTAAATGACGCTTCCATCGAGCCAGTGAGTTTACCGATAACATCTGTAGATGGCGTCATGCGTCTATATTTTCCCAAATCAAGTCTAAGTGTTTCGTAGTATTCGTGAGTCGCCGTCTGAGAGGTCGGTCCATGATCGTACGTGATCATTAAGGTTACATGAATCACTGATGATGAATGTCAATCAAAGAATTTGGAAATCTCGGTCACGCGGCTTCCGCTACAGACTCCGCATCATTAAACTTACACAACCTGAACGTGAGTTATAGAAGAACAGAAGTGTGTGTCACGAGCAGCAGGAGAGTGTAGGATACAAGACGAGAGTCCAGAGAATAATCACTAACAGAATCATTTGTTTGAGATAATTTAAAAACATTACGGACAAGGCCGCGCGCGACACAAACGAATACACATAGACACATCATATACAAATTAATAAAGTTTAACTGTGTGCTTACTATATTAAAGTAACAGCTACATACATATATAAAAATATACGGTTTTTGTAAGGTGCAATTATTACTAATAAATATTCTTTAAATATATGTCTGTCTGTCTACCTGTTTGTTCTAAGATTGTATGAGTAATGAGGAATAGGTAACCTTGGTTACTTTTATATTAGAAATTTAATTTGTTTACTGTATGAGTGTTCACAATATGTTCCGTTATATAATAAAAACATAGTAAACTATGGCGTCTGTACATTGAAATAAAATATCAAAAATAAGACAGATCAAAAAGAGGTAACAAAATAACAAAAAATCTAAACCTATAAATAAAAATTTACTTTGCACAATATGTACAGTGCATGTGTGATAATTTCTTAATAACTAAGTTTTTAAAATAACAAAAATGCAATAAGAAAACGATTCCATAACAAAATTTGTAATGTTATTTGTTCCTTTAAAATTTCTCCAATTATATTTCCAAAAGATAATTCAATGAAAATAGTAGATGAATGTATATCCCATGGAGACACGCGCGACGCCTCATCGATGACACTGAATACGAGTTAATATAATGTAATAGATACCTAGGGACAACACACTAACAGAGACATGAATAGGAAATTATATGTAATAAAAAGAGTCCATGACAGCGCTGTGCACGTGTCTTAAACAACTCCTGAGAGGGAGGGTGACCCTGCAACACTTGGGGGATTAGTGTGTTTATATGAATAAAGGAGACGGCGGGATGGAGAATAATAGGATGAAGACGAAGACAATGAGTCATGTGTAGAAGATTGGCATACGATGTTGGGAAGTTGAGCCGGTTCATGGAGATGACTAATGACGTCACAAACTTACCGGGATGACTCCTGTCACACTAGGAGGAATTGAAGTTTACCTAAATACACCACTTGAATGACTAGTTTCGTTGTATTGTAAATGCTTGAAATCTGAACATTCAGGAATAGGTCAGAACAACACACCTTAATGATTAGATGCATGTAATGGGATACAGTGAACAGGAGTCTAATACACCGGACATGGTGTCGGAGACTGTATAGGAGAAAGAAAGAGTACTCTCTCTCATGAAGACTGAGACTGGAGCGTCGTCCTGAAAGACATCAGCATTGCGAGCGTTTCTGTCAGAAGATAAGTTATCAGAATCAATCTCTTGTAGGTAGAGAATACATACCACATACAGGGAAACCAGGGAATTTAAATTAGAAAAATGATCTCGGGAATTAGTTATAGTGTGTCAAAGGAAAAAACCAATGTGTTTTTAAAAAGTCACTACTATTTATGGACTACTACTATTTATTTATGTGGAATGGAGTGTAAATTGCAATTAATAAAACTGAAATAGATGGAAAATAAGAAGAAAATAAAAAAAATCACATCAACACTAATATTGTCACTATAATTCTCATCTGTACAAGTTACAGTTAAAGTTACGTTCAAGATGAGTTATATAAAGATACTCCGGACTGTTGTCTTCACAGTTCACTTAAAGTACTGGGATGTGTGTTACCTTCATATAAATGAAATATATTGTATGAAAATCATTTTAATAAACTACACATATAGGAACTGGTTAAATTGTTGTTGAAGCGGTAATTGTTGTGTCTTAGTATATTATACTGGTAGACGTTCATTCCAAACGATCGCTCTACTCCTGTGACACACATCAATAAACATCAAGAGAATTTGCTCTTTTCCGTACATTTTCTTGTAATCTCAGAAAGACACGGCCCTGGCCCAGGGATTCTATTTCATCTCAGTTGCTTCAAAAGTTAAAAGTTCTTAAAAATAAAATCATTTAATACATAAACTATAATACAAATACGACCACTGACTCAAATATAAAGCCCACTCATTAACAATTACCTTATGATTCACACTACACGAGTACTCTTTAAGGAACATTTGATAAAATTGTAAGCAGAATGTTAATAACAATACTATACTAACAAAAAAAAAACATCAAAATAAAATGTATATAGAATATAAAATGTAAGCAGTCGACACATTTCCTTACAACCTTCCCACTAGTCACTACTGAGGCTCGGGATTCCCGCACACACACACACACACTCAGCGGACACGACCTGACTTGTGTTTATACAAATAATACGAGACGCACACACACATACAAACACACAATAGTCATTCAATGGAAATGTATCGAATAAAAAAAAAAACAATATTAACAGTAAAAAAAAAATATAAAACACTGTCTTTAGTTCACTCAGTCACTGTAAATGTTTTTTATAACTAACACTTGTAAGTTCCCGTGTTTGTCACAGTGTCTGTTGGTGCGAGGCTTGTGTGGTGTGTGTGGAGGACTCTGTATCTGTATGAGGTGTTGCCGCTGGTGGTGCAGGGCGCGGGCCAGGTAGTGCCAGGTAGTGCCAGTAGGGGGGCGCCTCCGCCGACTGGGCCTGGCAAGCGGCCGCCAGCCCCGGCCAGCTGAACCGGTACGCGTAACGTTTACCAGGGACCTGACACAAACAATATATGAATGTCTATCACAAGAAGAAGCTCCATACATGAAGACTGTTATACATTCAGAAACATTACAAACTTATCAGAACCGAACACTTGATGAGAGCTGTTTGATTAATTTTAATGAGTTGAAGGTTATTTTGTTATCCATTGTTTTAAAATAGTGAGTGAACTAGTTACATAGAAGAAAGATATGAAATAAGATATACATAATTAAAGCAACAAATTAAATATATTGTTATATTATTTGATATCAGAATGTTAGTAGTAGTAGCTCTGTAACCTTGGTCATGATGTTCTTGTCGTAGTAGTATCTCAGGGCTCGAGACAGCTTGTCGTAGTTCATGTGAGGTTTCTGTTTGCGGCGGCCCCAGCGGCGGGCGACCTCGTCCGGGTCGCACAGACGGAACTCACCTTCACCCGGGGAGCCCTGCACACGACACACGACACATAGCATCACTAGGAGATGTACCGACGATCATATGACAACGAATTATACACACTTTATAAACTAATGTTTAATGTATATTACAATAGGCAGTACTCTGTTATCAGTTATTATGAAGACCGTGATGGACAGACAAGGTATCAGTGTACACGAAGACTAGATCATACGTTATTAAATAAATTTACAATATATGTATGAATGAATGCAGAGTGCGAGTCTTTATTCAAATACTTCTTCTTTACTTCTTTATACAAATACAAAGATTTTGAACAAAAAGGAAATCAAGTACATGTATGTAGCAGTTTATTATTTTCTATTTAAGTTAAACGAATATTTTTAATTAAAATAAGAAATGGAAGAAATATCCAAAAAGAAAAAAATATTATTAGATATCTGTAAAAATCAAAGTAAGTTTTTTTTTTGTTATGTGTAATAAATGACAGTGTATACTGAAGTTTCTTTTTTCTTTATTTATTTATTTTAATTATTGTCAACTTTCATCCTAAATTATGAATGGTAATTCGTAATGTAAGAACTATAAATCCGAACAATAGGACAACGAAGTAACAGATTGCTACCTACAGACGTGGAAGAAAATTGTTCTTTGCTTTTTAGAACCTGGTTAAATTTAACACGATCTTATTTTTTGATTTAACCACACCAAAAACATTTGAAATAATACACTTAAATATACAATATTACCATTGAAATGTCGCCAGCATTATATGCTTAACAATTTTGAACCAAAGTTATTACAATTTATAATTGATTATCTTTCGTATAGTTAAATTATAAATGTTAATATATGTAATTAAATAATTCTCTAAATGCTGATGAATTGCAATAGAAGATTAAAAATTAATAATTACTACACGGCAACTGCAGGCGTCAAGTTTTTCTTTTAATGATACATTTTCTTGGACAAGCTCCATTAAAAATAATATTAATATTCAGGTTTTTACATATAATTTTGCTCACTCATTACAATTTTACAGCTAAATCTTCACCATTGCCATTAGAACTCAGTAGTTTTTGAGTGACTGTTGTAAGCAATGCTGTTTGAAATAGTAAACATTAGCATTTGTAATATTAACAGAATTAATATCGGTCTACATTTAAATTCTAGACAGTAAAAGTGTAATATAATCAAAAACAAAAGTCATGATCAAAAAGTGCATCACTGCTTTTCAAATACCCAATCTCAAAGCAAATAGCATTTATAAATGATTCAAATATTTTTCCTCCCTCTACGATTCTTTTGACGACTAAGACATTTGTCTTTTAAACATGTTATAGTTTATAATATTTATTTTCATAATCCTTTTAAAAAGAAGCGATGGTAAATAAATTTAATTCAAAAATAAACATTATTAAAATAGTGGAATTTTAATCAGTAGTGATTGTCACACACAATTCTTTTCTCATAAAATTTAATAAGTATAAAAACTATTAAAATCTTCGTATTCTACATTTATTTTTCATATTTATTTATTTATTGGTTCGTGCGTTCATTCAATCATGCATTCATTCATTCATTTATCTATTATTATTTAATAACTTATCAATTTAACAAAATCACTTAACAATTCTATTTATAGTGAACGTTGTCGTCCACACTAGTCTAGGCCTGTATCGTGGACATTATGTTGAGATACAGTGAATTAATGCACTGAGATATGCGACACGGGCCTCGGGCCGCGGGACACTCATCTCATTATAAGAACAAAACACGGATGTATTTCCCTATTTTTATAGTTCTGAATGATTCCAACCAAATATATTATCCTGTGTGGTATGAGTCACTCGTAGATACCAGTTGATTAAACATTCCTCAGGGAGGTTCTATTATGAGAAGACATTGCATGAACCTGTCAACTAGCTTTATTATAGATACTTCGAGTACTTATTTATTTATTTATTTACTTAGGAACACCAACAGTACACATATGCAACATTTACACAAAGATATAGTCAAAAGTATAGGTTTTCATATGTACACCTATTACAGGTATTCACAGCATTGTCTAAGTAGTTACTTGAGTTATTGAGTACTTACGAGAACTTTCAGTTGTTTCAAAGGGAAGCTATAGAAACGTGTATCTACTCACAGTACAGTATACTGATTCCTATGCGTGTGTGTGTGTGTTTGTTTGTGTGTGTGTGTTACCTCCCAACATATCCCGGGCGCGCCGGCCGCCAGCTCCTCCAGTAGGAACTGCCACAGCTGCACCTGTCCGCCGCCGGCCCGGACACAGCCGCTCAACGGGTGAGGCTCTACGGACATACGAGAACATACAGACTAAGTGACAAACAGAAAAATATAACAAACTAAAGAGCCTAAACAGACTTTAAAGTATATACGAGTTCACTGACAGAATACATACATATATGGGAAACTAGTTAAGTTGTCTCTGAACAAGTGAGCTACCTTCAAAACTTATAAATTACCTCTGAATATTTCTATTAATTACCTTGAATTACCTCTGTTAGTGAACAAGGGAAATGTCTATATTTAAGATTTCTTAATAATCATCCTAGTTACCTCTACAGCTGTGTTATATTTATGAGTAATAATGAAATAAAACATTGAACTGGTGGCACACACTTTACTGCTTCCACGTAGACTGACAACTGTCACAAACATTATTTTTCTACCTGCTATATGAATATGTTACAAACACTATAAGCTGAAACAGCGTATTTTTATATGCATTAACCTCTGTAAATGAGAGTAGAAAGAAAGTAACATTTTCGATATTAATAAATGTAGCCAAGGAATCGAAGATCTGTCATGTGTTCTACAATATTTTACTGGTGATGATGTTTTTTACACAGATGAAGAGGGTTTATGTTAAAAGTGTCTACGATGTACCTTACTGGAAGCAACATACTTCATCCCATCTTGTATTCTTCACTGGACTTTTATGAAAGTTATAACGAAATGAGCTCGAAAATAAATTTAATATTAATTTGGAAACTTTAAACAGTTATCGACACAAAAGACAAAGTTAAATTACAGATACAAACATGTTTCTATAAAAATAAAACTAGTGATAATTCATCGCACCGCTGACACTCTAACAACCTGTATTCTCTCTTCTATTTATATCAAAGATTTCCTTTTATTTTCATTTAAATGAATTTGAGGATTTCGGATATCACAACGCGTTTTTAATTATTATTTTTTAACTACATAATCCTAAGGTTTCAGTTCCTTAACAGCGACCGTGATCACGGACAGACGAATAAAAAGTTTCACTACGTCGGCATTTTGGACTATATAATAAAAAATCAATAAAAAAGCTCCGTATCCGAAAACATTAATATTATAGCAATTTTGTATTAATTTGTTTATTTTTAGTGATTTTTGTAACGTATACTTTGCATGAATTTAATGAATTATTTAATTTTAATTTGTACCTAGGTATATCAATTCAAACTATTTGTGTTTTAATTTTAATTTGATTAAGTGCATGTTTATTTTTTATGGTCTTTAAATTGTATCAATTTTAACTTATTTTTTTTAATCTTTCTACTCTTGTTGTTATAATTATGTGTTAATGTATTTTTAAAACATATATTGTAATCGTTGTGGCTACTTTAAAAAGCTTCACATGTTAGCTATTTTCATTTAATTGTTTTACATTTGTCATTTAAACATGTAGTAGCTACTAGTGGTCCTTATAAAATAAAATAAAAATTATCACATGAGACACTGGATGAGTGTAAAAATTGAATAAGTGAAACCAATTTCCGAGTCCCGATTAGGTCTCACTGAACCAGGTTACCTACACTGGACAACCACTAGTGTCAGAAAACGAACGAATAGACGAACTTACGTACCGTGGTACAAGTGGTGAAGACGACGGTGATCAGGGACGGCCGCGCTCACCCACAACATGAGGACCAGCTCAACACACACACACACACACACACACACACACACACACACACACACACACACACACACACACACACACACACGACACGTTAAGAACAACTACATTATAGTAATACGTGAAGCTTTGACGGTAACAATTTCTAGCTCTTAATTCACTTTGAAAACAAATGATAATAGTTCTATGTTATATATTCTTGAAATAGGAGAGGAGGACGCGTCCGGATGGCGGGCCGGAAGTGAGCGAGTGACTCCCGGGAGACGAGGAGGTATACGAGAACACGTACAGTACAGAGAGAGAGAGACGAAGACTCGGGCTGAGGAAACAGTTAAAGTAACAGATATTATCATGATTATTGAACAGATAACGTGGTGAACTATGTATATGTATATACAATATTATATACGCGCCTACAGTGTTGTACGACCTATATAGACGTATTAGAAGTAGCGGGATAACACATTAAATAAAAAATAATTTTATTATTATTATATTGTGTTATGAAAATCATTTAAACATGAACGAAGTTTAATGTACAATTCTATGTATTAATGTATGTAAGATGGTCCCGCTAGTCACTGTCCAACTATGAATGTACATCACTTGTACCGCCGCGCTGTGACCGTGAGAACTGAGATCTGTTAGTTAGTTAGTTGTAACAAAAACATACAAATCACAAGTCTCTCGTGTTATATTAAAGTTTAAAATATATTAAACTTTTCCTCGACTTCAACTAGAACCACTTCCCTTACATTTACTTTCAATACTATGTTCGGGATTGTTTTCAGCACATCCTGATGTCTGATACTATAGTACCTATGTATAACAGATTATGGCCCGCGACTTCGTTCACTTTAAATATTAAAATATTGACATTTTAAGTAGATCGAGGAGCTGGCAGCTGAGTGGTGCTATCATAAATTATCTAGTTTTATTTTGTGGCAGACTTACGACCTGTTTTCCCGGGTCACGTTAGTAGGTACCTAATCAACAACAAGGACATTCACTGTACCGTGAGTCCGGTTTAAAACAACACAAATCCTATGGCGTCACCTCTCACCTTTCTATATTTTTTATATGTTTGTCTGTCAACTCGTAACAGTAGTAATCTTATATCTTTAGTACAACATATTATCTCTCTCTTAGTAAGTATCGTTTCTTATACATTTCGCCAGTATTATGTAACAACATATTTAAAAGTCTAACACACGAGTCTGTATTTCGCGTTATGGCAGCTGTATACATTAGTAGATGTTCTTTCTTAATATTTAATATAACATGTATCAGTAGAGGTCCACTGGGTCCGTGGCCGAGGCCCAAGTGTAATAGAGCTCGTGGTCGGCTGATCTCTCTCAAGTGTGTTTATTTCATATATTTTCGGTTTAGTCGTCGCCGCTTCCTCTTCAGCTCGTGTATTGGACCATGGCCCCTAGCGAAGGTCAGAGGACGGAGGGCGGTGGGCGGGGAGACCGAGAGGAGGGCCCGCGAGACGCTCCTCCCACGAGGATCGAGGTCCCCGAACCGACCACCGCCGAGTGAAGGAGCAGGACACTTATAGTATGATGACAGAGAATAAGACACTCACACATACATACATACATACATATATAATATAAACTTGGTCTCGGTTCGAGAGTATGACGTATCGATGACGTCACAAGTCCTGGTCGCGGGACGTCTAATTATTGAGAGAGGTGTGTGTAGTAACTGAGCCTGAAGGTGCAGCAGGACTATCCTCGTACACAGGAACACCTGTACCAGTCCGTGTGTGTGTGTGTGTGTGTGTGTGTGTGTGTGTGTGTGTGTGTGTGTGTGTGTGTGTGTGTGTGTGTGTGTGTGTGTGTGTGTGTGTGTGTGTGTGTGTGTGTGTGTGTGTGTGTGTGTGTGTGTGTGTGTGTGTGTGTGTGTGTGTGTGTGTGTGTGTGTGTGTGTGTGTGTGTGTGTGTGTGTGTGTGTGTGTGTGTGTGTGTGTGTGTGTGTGTGTGTGTGTGTGTGTGTGTGTGTGTGTGTGTGTGTGTGTGTGTGTGTGTGTGTGTGTGTGTGTGTGTGTGTGTGTGTGTGTGTGTGTGTGTGTGTGTGTGTGTGTGTGTGTGTGTGTGTGTGTGTGTGTGTGTGTGTGTGTGTGTGTGTGTGTGTGTGTGTGTGTGTGTGTGTGTGTGTGTGTGTGTGTGTGTGTGTGTGTGTGTGTGTGTGTGTGTGTGTGTGTGTGTGTGTGTGTGTGTGTGTGTGTGTGTGTGTGTGTGTGTGTGTGTGTGTGTGTGTGTGTGTGTGTGTGTGTGTGTGTGTGTGTGTGTGTGTGTGTGTGTGTGTGTGTGTGTGTGTGTGTGTGTGTGTGTGTGTGTGTGTGTGTGTGTGTGTGTGTGTGTGTGTGTGTGTGTGTGTGTGTGTGTGTGTGTGTGTGTGTGTGTGTGTGTGTGTGTGTGTGTGTGTGTGTGTGTGTGTGTGTGTGTGTGTGTGTGTGTGTGTGTGTGTGTGTGTGTGTGTGTGTGTGTGTGTGTGTGTGTGTGTGTGTGTGTGTGTGTGTGTGTGTGTGTGTGTGTGTGTGTGTGTGTGTGTGTGTGTGTGTGTGTGTGTGTGTGTGTGTGTGTGTGTGTGTGTGTGTGTGTGTGTGTGTGTGTGTGTGTGTGTGTGTGTGTGTGTGTGTGTGTGTGTGTGTGTGTGTGTGTGTGTGTGTGTGTGTGTGTGTGTGTGTGTGTGTGTGTGTGTGTGTGTGTGTGTGTGTGTGTGTGTGTGTGTGTGTGTGTGTGTGTGTGTGTGTGTGTGTGTGTGTGTGTGTGTGTGTGTGTGTGTGTGTGTGTGTGTGTGTGTGTGTGTGTGTGTGTGTGTGTGTGTGTGTGTGTGTGTGTGTGTGTGTGTGTGTGTGTGTGTGTGTGTGTGTGTGTGTGTGTGTGTGTGTGTGTGTGTGTGTGTGTGTGTGTGTGTGTGTGTGTGTGTGTGTGTGTGTGTGTGTGTGTGTGTGTGTGTGTGTGTGTGTGTGTGTGTGTGTGTGTGTGTGTGTGTGTGTGTGTGTGTGTGTGTGTGTGTGTGTGTGTGTGTGTGTGTGTGTGTGTGTGTGTGTGTGTGTGTGTGTGTGTGTGTGTGTGTGTGTGTGTGTGTGTGTGTGTGTGTGTGTGTGTGTGTGTGTGTGTGTGTGTGTGTGTGTGTGTGTGTGTGTGTGTGTGTGTGTGTGTGTGTGTGTGTGTGTGTGTGTGTGTGTGTGTGTGTGTGTGTGTGTGTGTGTGTGTGTGTGTGTGTGTGTGTGTGTGTGTGTGTGTGTGTGTGTGTGTGTGTGTGTGTGTGTGTGTGTGTGTGTGTGTGTGTGTGTGTGTGTGTGTGTGTGTGTGTGTGTGTGTGTGTGTGTGTGTGTGTGTGTGTGTGTGTGTGTGTGTGTGTGTGTGTGTGTGTGTGTGTGTGTGTGTGTGTGTGTGTGTGTGTGTGTGTGTGTGTGTGTGTGTGTGTGTGTGTGTGTGTGTGTGTGTGTGTGTGTGTGTGTGTGTGTGTGTGTGTGTGTGTGTGTGTGTGTGTGTGTGTGTGTGTGTGTGTGTGTGTGTGTGTGTGTGTGTGTGTGTGTGTGTGTGTGTGTGTGTGTGTGTGTGTGTGTGTGTGTGTGTGTGTGTGTGTGTGTGTGTGTGTGTGTGTGTGTGTGTGTGTGTGTGTGTGTGTGTGTGTGTGTGTGTGTGTGTGTGTGTGTGTGTGTGTGTGTGTGTGTGTGTGTGTGTGTGTGTGTGTGTGTGTGTGTGTGTGTGTGTGTGTGTGTGTGTGTGTGTGTGTGTGTGTGTGTGTGTGTGTGTGTGTGTGTGTGTGTGTGTGTGTGTGTGTGTGTGTGTGTGTGTGTGTGTGTGTGTGTGTGTGTGTGTGTGTGTGTGTGTGTGTGTGTGTGTGTGTGTGTGTGTGTGTGTGTGTGTGTGTGTGTGTGTGTGTGTGTGTGTGTGTGTGTGTGTGTGTGTGTGTGTGTGTGTGTGTGTGTGTGTGTGTGTGTGTGTGTGTGTGTGTGTGTGTGTGTGTGTGTGTGTGTGTGTGTGTGTGTGTGTGTGTGTGTGTGTGTGTGTGTGTGTGTGTGTGTGTGTGTGTGTGTGTGTGTGTGTGTGTGTGTGTGTGTGTGTGTGTGTGTGTGTGTGTGTGTGTGTGTGTGTGTGTGTGTGTGTGTGTGTGTGTGTGTGTGTGTGTGTGTGTGTGTGTGTGTGTGTGTGTGTGTGTGTGTGTGTGTGTGTGTGTGTGTGTGTGTGTGTGTGTGTGTGTGTGTGTGTGTGTGTGTGTGTGTGTGTGTGTGTGTGTGTGTGTGTGTGTGTGTGTGTGTGTGTGTGTGTGTGTGTGTGTGTGTGGAGCGCATTCCTCCTGTGCATGATTCATTCACTAACCGGTGTCCCTGTATCCAGTAAGCGCGGCTCCACTATCGTTGGCATCTTATTGGAATTCCAGTAGACTCAGTTAATTAACACATCTCTCTACTCGGCAGACATCTGACTGTATCTCTATTTATTATTATCTTTACATTTGTTATCATTCATATCAGTCCATATCTTCTAACACCTTCCTCATCGTCTCCTCTCTTCTCTTAGTTCGCGTGTCGTCTTCAACATGAGCTGGTCACTATTCATAGTGTCTATTCAGTCCGCGTCTTATCTATCATACACATTATGCTAACTCTTGGTAAACTTGTTGTAGAGACTACACACACACACACATTGTAATGAGATCTAAGACTGTTGCGAGCATTTATTTAAATGAAACTAATATTTGTAAATTACTACGTATATCGTAGTATTTTTAAAACACCACATACTCCCGACGTTTCGGTTACTTTGCAGCATAGGTTAATAATATCAAAGGTTGCTTAGTAATCCGAAAATATTAGGTTCATTTAAATGAATGCTCGCGTCTTAGATCTGAAAAAAATATTTATTTTCATCTCGTCTGCCCATGATCATAGTTGCAACGTTACAATGTATTCAAAAAGTCGGAAGTATGAGGATTTAAAAATAATAAAATAACGCGTAGTAATCCGATTAATATTAATTTCATTTATACAAACATCGTACTATGTAAAGTGATATATATTTTTTGAGAAATCTTTTTTCAAGTTACATTTTTCTAACCTATGGTATCCATTCACATTGAATTTGTGGAATATTTATCTAAAGTTACTGTAAAAAATTATAATATAATTTTGAACAATATATCGAGAAAACCCGAAGAATTTATTCTAATGGAATAATGGACTTCGTTTCTTTACTAAACTCAAGGTTTTTCCAACTAACATTTTGTATTCTTGAATAATCTTAAAACATTAACCGACAGACGCTTCCACTGAACTCATTAACATAAATCTCTTAACATCTTAACAGTAACCACTCCTGTGGTCGTGTGAGTGTATGACACGCTCTCCAATAACAATAGTCTTTATTTATTAAACGTGGCTCCGACAGAGGACAGTAATGAAACCCTAAGCCCGGAGACTCCCGCCGCGAGGAGCAGCCAGAGATCAGGACGGTATTGACTTGGTAATGACGACCCGCTGCTACCCTTACTTACACCCTGACACTCACCAACACGACCAATATATATTAATAACATGCGATATTCGTTACAATTAATATTTATTAACTCGCCTCTGACTGAATAAAAATTAAGAATAACTTTCTCTGGGTCGATATTATAACAAAACTTTAAAGAACGAAAGCTCTGTAGAGTATTTTATTCACATATACAGCGTGAGTTATTGAATAAATATGTAAAGTGACTTCAAAATGAGACGTACAGTATGGTGGTAGGGGTCGCGGGCGCCCCGCGGGTCGAGGGTGAAGTGTCAAATGACTTGAAGGCATTACGGACTAAGCCCTTGAACCTCCTCCGCAATATAAATGTAAATACACACACACACACAGGGTGAGGCTGTGACTGTGTGTGTGTGTGTTATAATATTGCAACGGAAGTTAACCTTTAATAAATATACCAGGCGAATGTTTTATTTGAGTTGTTAATATTAAACAAAATCCCGTACCGTCGCTGAGTTTAGAGCTTCTAGTAACAGATTAATAAAAGTTAATTTTAACTATAGCACGCGATCTCAATCGAGAAAGTTCCAAATTTTTTTCCAACTACTGAGTACTGACTGGTCAGATGATGACTAGTTGAAATCAGAAATATTTTCCAGTTAATTCAGTTTAAATTAATTCCATGAATGTTATTTATCTTAGTCATCCGACGGATTTATAAAAAAACTATAAACAGTTGTTCCAGAGTACCTTTAGTACATGTCCGGGTCGACACACTACGTACGATGAGTTCCCAGTTCTCGCTCGTATATCTTCCTACACGACATTCTCCACAGCAGTGTATGAAACAGAAACTGGTCATCTTTCGTATGTAGTGACGATGAAACTTGTGATAAGGTTACTGCTTTGTTACATTCGTAGAGAAAAATTTAATGACACGCGTTATTGTAAACGGATAAATTAGTAGATTTTGTAGTGTTCCACTGTCCGGTCACAGTCATCAAATAAAATAACAAAAAAGAGTAGCGAAAATGATAATTTAAACAATTTTATTATAAATGTTTGTGAGAATTTTGTAAAAAATAAAGCTGAAAAATAATTAAGTAGATACAATGATAGGTGACAACATGAGTAATACAATTTTCTTACTTACTTACTTGTTAAACTAAAGTAAACTTAATATGTCAAAATTACCATGATAAAATCCCGTAAGTGCAGTACCTATTATAGATACATGTAACTGGAAGTATGTTAAAGCATGATTTTATTAAGATACCTGTACAAATTAAAATAAAATTCATTGATTATACTGAAATAAAAAACTGGGACACGTCACATATCTACACGCGTCGATTAAAGTTTAGTTTCATAGTGTCCATCGGATTTAAATTAGTACCCGTGACAGTACATATTTATTTAATTTTTTTAGAGTTTTCTTCTACAGAATTAGCCTGTCTGTTTATAAACCGTTTTACTTATACTTTTGTACTCTTTATTATTATTAAGTTTTTAGTTTGAGTACATTCTAATGTCAGCTAGTTGTCGCCGCTTTAACCGTTCACTTTAACTTATGTGTTGTGCTGCTGTCCGCTACTCACTGACTTCGTATCATTGTTAAACATCCTAACACCTCACTGACTTCCACACAAAGCTGAACCTTGACTTGAGTGAGAGAATCAGATATTGATTTTATATCAGGCAATATATTCTACACAATTCCTTTCATTTGCTTCCCATATTGATGGGATTGAAAGATATAAGTTTTCCGCCATCTTGTAGCAATCATATTAAATTTTTAATAATTTTTAGTATATTCCCATAAATTATTGTATTGTCACTAGAACCTAAAGTGTATACCAAAGTTCAGTTCACTCGCTTGTCAAGACGAGGTTGAAATTTCATTAACTAAAGAAAGACTCAAGAACAGATTAAAACTAACGGAATAAGCTAAATAAAACTATTTAAAAAGAAAGTAACAGTTTTAAGTCAATGAATCACATTCTGTTAGTAAAGTCGCTTCCTCACTCATGAAGAATGCATTTTTTCTCTACATTTTAAATTGTATCTCATTTCTCTCATGAGTCAGATAATTAATTATATACAAATATGTTTCTTGAAAAATCCGAAAATATCCATAATTGAATATTATATTAGTTATGTATACAACAAGTGATTTCTGTTCCTAAAGATGTCTGTCCGTCGCTGTTCATTACATATTAAATAAAGTTAACGTCTTGGCTCACAGTTTAAATTATTGAACTGTAGGTTTAACACAAACTGGGTATCGTCACACATACGACAAGGTTCACGTTTCATTAAACTACGTTAATAGCGTTATGTGTGAATATTTATGAGTAACAGTTAACGCTCCGCATGTAGTAACGATTCAGACTTGTTATAAGCGTATTGATGCCTTATAGTTCTACGAGTGACGAGTCTCAACATAGAGAGAGCTTTAAACGAACGCGCATTATTTTGTTCTGCCAAGAACTAATAAAGGAATGGATTTTTTAATTTATTTGCAATTTCTTTTCCGCATGAAAACAACATCTTGAATACTTTTCTGACACAATCTTATTCTGAAAATGATTACATTCTTTTTAATATAATAGTGGGAAAAACCTTATGTTTTGTTAAAATAAGTTACATCCTATTAACATATCAGTAAAGTAATCGCGAGTGGATGAGAAAACGTAAAAAAAAGTATTTACTAAAATATAAAACAAAATTACAGACGAAGCCGCGGGATAAACATTGAATGTTATATATTTTTTATTATACTTAATTTTAATATGCTAATGGGCGACATTTAAAGTGTTTGAAGGCGGTGAGAGAGGGAGTGGAACACAACAACCAATACTGAGGCGACCAGACGTGAAGTATAATATATTACTTCAATAAAAAAACAACGAACAGACGTCGGACCGCAATAAATTAGTATGAGAGGTCGACTGTTAAAATAAATTTGAAGGTTTCGATTGTGACCTCCGACGATGGAAACAACTAGAAAAATATAACATAAGTGGAAATGTTATATATATAGAAGCATCCCGTTGGTAGTAGGAACACGTGCCTGTACCACAAGCTGCCCTTAGTCACTACACCACACGTGTCAGTAACTGGGCGCCACGCTCCTCACTCACAGACCAGGTCGCTGCCAAATGTAAAAACTAATTCCGCGACTGATGCTGATTCAATCCGGAACAGTGAGTCAGTGCTTCTAGGAAACATTGACTCACTTCCGCTCCCACCGAGCGACCGTGGTGAGGAAGCTGGCTGAGAACCATCATACAATATATACTTATTATAATAATAACTAAAATATATATAAACAAATGACCAACAATCTGGAAACAGGCGACGCTTCACTTGAGTTGAACAAATTACTGTTCATTATATAGTTGGAACATAATGTTATCTTAAATAAACTCTTACGAATGATACACTCATATAACATATCAATTGATATTTAAAATTCTAAATACATAACGAGTTGTCGCGAGGAATGCCAAAAATGTTATTTAGTGAAGCCAGCATCACCACATGTTCGGGACGGTCGCGGTCGGCACGCTCGAGAAAATTTTGGCAAAGTGTTAGAAGGAAAATACTGATGTGATGAATTGATTAGGAATGTTGTTTTGTTGAATATTTGAATGAACAATACAAGGCTCGCTCCCTGACCTCGCTCGTGACACATACCGTCGTTGTTTAAGTTTATATCAAGCAAAAAACTAAATAGTTTACTATTACTGTAACTATTAGTTGGATCTAATACTTGGCCCTCGTTCAAACTCACCAAGCAGTAACAACTGAATGAATTTAGTAATTAGTATACAAATAAATAATTGAAAAGCGTCCGTTTGTATCTTCAACGACAACAGCTTCTCAAGGCAAATGCAATTTTTGAATTGTGGTAATGTTTTTTTTGTCTGTCTCTTTATTCTGATTAATCTCGGGAGAAGCTGAATTATTTTTAAGGAGACTTTCACTACCAGATAGAAAATTTCACTATAGTTTTATGTTTTATGAAATAAATACTTTGATTTTTAAAATATAAAAAATTCATAGAATACTATTTAAAGGTAGTCCTGGAGTCAACATCAGGTTAAAGGGATGATGACGAGTATCTCAAAAGACGCGGGCAGAAGCTAGTAATAAAAACACGATAGTTCACGATGTGTTATTTAAATGGCACGATATAGAGAGCTTTGATAGAATCTAATGAAGTGATTTCCGAAAGATTTATTTATATAATGTATAGTTAGAGTCATCGAGAGTCCCGGGAGACACATTCGAAGGACCGGGGAAGGAAAGAAAACTGATAAGACAATCGACTATCATTTATCAGAGTGACCTCTGTCCTCCGCCCTTTGCCCTTCGCCCTCCGACCTCACGGTGTCCGCACACTTCACAGATAGTGATGCTAATGCGAGGAGCCGTGATCTCATTCCCGCCGTCTCCCAAAGGAATTCATTTATTATTACAATAAGAAATCAATGAGTACACGGGAAAGTGAAACTGAATTAACAACTCTCACAACGAATCCGCGTGCTAGTTCACTGTTACAGTTAAAATAAATTGAGTTAATATTGTATTATGATATTAACAACAGTCCACAGTACTGTAACATCTTGTAATTGTTGTATTATAATCTCCACGTCCTCATTACTGTCGTTACTCGATTAATTCACAATCTGAATTCCTTTTGAAGTCAAAATAGTTTCAGTGTTAATAGTTTCAGTGTTGGAGGCGGACTTGTTGGAAACAACCTTGTAACAGAAAAATTTGGATCACATTCTTAAGCCGTGCGGTGCAGCGGAGCCGGATGTTGATAGACTGTTATAACCTACCACCTACCACTAGGAACATAATTCTTTTACAGAAAAACTACTTCGATATATCTTCTTCTTCTTCCTGGCAATTTCCCAGCTTTAGCCAGGGTCTGCCATACTTCAATATATGTATTTACTTAATACAAAAACTGTATTTATAATAACGTTGTTAGTTGTATTGTTCGCGTCAGTAACAGATCTAGATATCAAAGAGTGTACCGATTCTTTCGTCACTATCGGTAATTGTATCATCTATTATATTGTAATATATTGTATGTATCATCTATGTGTATGTGTGTGTGTGTGTGTATGTGTGTGTGTGAGGGAACAGCTGTTGCGTGATGTAAGTTATCACACAAATATTTGTACGACTAATGTGAGGACGGTAGCACTAGGAGCGAACTCTTAAATTGATATTTGACGAACGATAGCTTTATAAAATATTTATAATATAAAACACGCGAACTGAACACGGTTTAACAAGACATTCAATATTATAGAACAGAACACTCGTATGGCCTCACATACAAACAGGATTTAATGATAAAGACAGATCGGTTTTATAATTAACCAATTTCATGTAAATTAAATCGATATATCTAAAATACCTTTCCAAAAGGTTACGTACGAAGCGGCTCGCGTTTCTTTATAAAGAGCCTACGTTTACACTAAAACGGTGTTAAAAATGAAAAATTAAAATTAAAAAAATTATGTGAAGGATATCCGACCATGACGGTGATTACATCGAAAGAAAATTAAGAGATAAGTTTGTGTCAATACATGTATTCCGAATTAATTCGAGATAGATTATATTATAATTATTTTGTTAAATAATAATCCAACCATCCAACTTAACATGCCCTAGATAAGACGAACCTACCTACACAAAAAAAATAGCGGAGGCTGACGAATGTATTAGAAAATAATAGTTTAAATTACATATAAAATGTATTAATTTTAATGATTCAGTATCCATTAGTTTAATAAGTTTGAATTGATTCGACAAACAACAAACACGCCGCCATTAATATCGACCACATACTATTAGTGAACCGACGAGACAACCGTTCGATGGCCATTATAACATCTATATATATTATACGTTACACAATTTGTATAGCGATTCGAAGAAATTTACATGAGTCAGCGAAACAACCTGTGCAGATGAAGGGAACCACTCGTGGCGGCGCCCGGGGCCGGGGGCGAAGGCCGAGGGGGCGCAGGCCGCGGACCGTGACTCACTACACGCTCATTCAACAAGTTAACGCGCGAACATACGAGTTGACAATCACATCCGATAGATGGCGGTGTCAATAATACTTGATTAATTTTAATGTTTTTTTCTTAATTAGGTAAACAAAATATATGTTTACGTAAACGCCGCTTATGAAATTAACTTCTATTTTTCTTAGTTAGAATAATTAATTTCATTAACAATATATTGTGAGATGTAACTTTAAAATGACTATAGACCACTGTGTCGATAACTTTTAAAACAGAAAAAAAAAATGTAGGATGAAACCCAATAGTAGTTGTGTACTCAGAAGATCCCCAGAAAATCCCTGTTTTTTATTTACAGAAAATTTGCATAAAACTACTAAAGCTATTAAAGATAAATTGAAAGAGCATTTTCAAAACGATGTCGAGTGTCATTTCATTAAAAGAGACATGATTATTTTATCCAAAAATGGTACTGCAGATAAGAAACTTATATTTTTTTCTTCACCATCGTAAAATAAAGATTTCAACGAACAGAAAACATAAGCAGAAAAACATAAATATTTCTAATCAATAAATTACCGTGTGTTAAGAACATCAAAAGGTAGCTTTTCATCAAATTTCGTAACAAAATATTGTTTTTTTTTTAGAGATAAAAATAATAAATAAAGTAAAAAGTTGTTGTTTTGAATTTATCACATAAATTTTGAGGTTATGTGAAAAATATAAAAACAAGTGTTAGATCTTTGTATAATCTGCAACTTTTATATCTTATTTCCGTAGGACTTTTTTTTCCGGAAATTGAGAAAAACCATTTTTTACCCTTAAATAGTATTTAATAAATAACCACCCTCATGCCATTCCCGACCTCAGATCGCCCGTAAAATATTTTTGTTTCATTTTATTTTCATGCAACTATTATTTTTTTACTTTTCATTAATTTTAAAGGCTTCTACCCTGGCCTACTAGTACTATAAGAGAGTTGACATAGTTTATAATGTACATCTTATAACGAGTGTGTTACTGACCGGTCTGCTGCTGCTGCGAGCTGGACGTCTGATGTTCCGGCAGCTGAGGAGGCGGAGGGCGACCCTTGGCCGCGGCGTGAGCGTGCGCCACGTACGCCTGGAAGATACGGGCCGCCTGCTCGTTCCCAGAACACACCTGCACAGGTATAACATGAAGGGGAAACTAGGGTAAACAAAGGAATCATGGTTTTGAGAGCTGATCCTGACCTCGAGCCAATTGTCTGCAGTGAGGGCGAGGAGCTCGGCGCCGCTAGAGGGCAGCAGGTGGGTCTTGGGAGCCGGCACTGAGAACTGACGAGACACCCACCGCACACACCGGACCACGTCACCACACACCCACTTCTCAGGGTCTGGAGAAGACACACATACACGTACTTATAATATAAGACACTACTGAAGGATTAATATGAGGTTGAATATAGATAGACACACGGGGCTGTACACATGATATATTTAATAAACTAGTACTATTGACTATTGAGTGTATCTACTCTATATGAAACTGTGTAGTTAAATTATTTAACAGTTGATAATAACTAAAAAATAGTATATATTTTTCAACAAACACGGTCTACATGCATTGTAAGTCAATATTTTTGTATGGAAATCTTTATTCTTACAAATATATATTAAACAATCACGGTAAATATGAGTCAATGTTTTTGGATGGAAATATTTAATATTACAATTCTTTAAACATTTAAAGTATTCTGTATTCATCTTTTAGTCTTCCCAGGACTTTATAGTGATGTTGCTATATATTTGAAATAAATAAAATTAGTTAGTTAGTTTATTATATGTTTTGTTTGTTTAACTGATTGTTTTTGTATAAAACGTGATTAAAAATAATAAGATTAATTAGTTGGAGGGTAAGCTTTGATATTATTATTAATTTTAAATCTAACTTAATAAAAAAACATCCGTTTCGTATTTCATAGTTTTTTAAAAGTAATAACAATAATACTAATGATATAATTTTCAATTTAAACATTGTTTTATATATTGTGTTCAAAGTAAGCTTAATCTTTCAGCTTGGATGTTTATATTTTGACATTTCACTACTTTAAGGAAAAACACTAAATATAATATGTCATTATAATAAAAACTAAAACTAAAAATCCTTTTTAAGACATAAAAGATAAGAACAGAAAGAACTTTATCATGTAACTTATATTTCACATTCTTTTTATATTTAGTGTGAATTAATGACTATGAATTTAACAAAATCAGCTTCTTCCATTGTTTTGCACATAATATTTATATATTATTAAGTAAAATATATTACATATAAACGAGTGTATCAGAACTATTACAACAAATATACATTTGAGGTAAACTTCAGGATTGTGACTTGTCTATCATAACCTCCACCAATCAACGTGATGAAAATCAAAATAATTTCTTAAAGATAATTAAAAAGACGGACGGAAATCAGAAAAGATTACTAGATATCGATGATAGTAGATGGAAATATATCATTAATCGTACATGTAAAAGTTCTGAAACTAATATGAACGTGTCACTTGTAAGGTTATATCCTGACACATATTCACTAACTTCTATCATACACAAGAACAAGTCTCCCTCTCGTCTGACCAGTAATACTTTACTATAAAGTGTTTTATATATTCAATTATGTTTTTGATACAATTTTTTTTTAAAAATCAGTGTCGTGTTCTTTATCTCCTGATATATGTATTTTTTCAATAAGACCGTATGTGTTTCACCGTAAGTACTCTATATTAATATTTCTCCGACTTCTTTAAACTTTTTAATAAACATGATAGAAGCAGATAATTATAAAGCAATGCGTTATTTATTTAGAAAATTTTATAATTTGCAAAGTTTAAAACTTTCATATGTTTTGCAGTTAAAGCTTTATCTGTCACTGAGAATGATCACCGAAACTTAATGATGTATCTATTTCATTAATAACAAAATTTTTAAAAAATTCTAATGTCCTTATACGTGAATTCAAACTCTCATCACAACACAAATTGCTAAAAATATACGAAAAGTATCCAAAGTAAGTCGACCGGACCGGTATGCATATAATGCACATTAATCACTACTTACTTATAAAAACTATTATATTTAGAGCACACTGTATCCACGTAAACTATTCACCCAGTATGTACCACACAGGTCCCTACAGGTCCACTCGTTTCCACAACACAGTAAGGTCGGTGTATATTTACCGGCGGGCACGGTGTCATCCTCGTCGTCCTGTTGCTGCTCGTGAGCCGGCAGCGGGGACTCCATCCATTCATAGCGGGGCGCCAGGGCTGCGGCCGCGGGCTGTGCTCGTGTCCATGCGGGGCTCCAGGCTCCTCTCAGCTGCCCGTCAGCCCGTGTGTGGCGGCCGCGCGGGTGCTCCTCTAGTTTTATTCTCGCGTCACTGTGACGTCGCTGATTCGTCACCGCTGATGACGAGGAAAACGCATTCTGGGAACCTCCGCCCGCGCCGACCACAACACTCTCCGTGTGGTACAGGCTCGCTTTATATATATACACACGTGTGTTCATATATAAGTATATGATAGTGTCGTCTACTATTATTTATCTTTTTGCGAGGCGGCGTCACGATCACAACAGCTCCGCTATCTTAATCTCTGTTAAATACTATTTCATTAATGTCATTACTCATTATATACCAACACACACCACGTGGGACGACTCTCATGTAAATATTATATATAAAGATTACTCTTATATACTTATATCACGTAGTGTAATTCCAACGCTGAACAATATTAATTTTAAATCTAAACTAGTATAACATAATTTACACTATTCAGTCTCTAAAAATAATGTATAATTAAATTAAATATCAAAATATTCTCAAATATTTCAACGAGGTTATTGAGGTTTCAAAGCTCGAGCAAACTATCATACCATCATAGATGTTATAAGTTGATAAGAAAAATATATATTTTAGAAAAACGATCTGTATTTATAACATACAACATATAGACGTAGCATTTAAACCCCGAGAAAAAGCTACAAGAACAGATTGCCACCCTTACTATATAATCAATATACCAATAAACAAATTGACAGTAAAAAAATCCATATGTGTTTATATATAATATATGTGTGTATATAATTTACATTAATAGGTAAAACACACACACACACACACATACAACGGTGTATTAAATTGTATGCATATAATTGAGAGTGAACGACGGACAGATATACAAAATATGAATTTCATACAATACGAACAGATACCCTGAAAGAAAAAAATAGTTAAAAGTTATAAAAATGCTGAAGTGATTCAAATATATTGAATAATAATAATTAGTGAGTTGTCAAACACGTGAAGTTAAGTGAAAGTAAGACGCGTCATTGTGATTCGCGTATTATTAATATAATGATTATCTAAACACTCGCACATTCACGATCTGCTCTCGTGGCTGAGGTGTCCGAGTGGTTAAGGAGTTGGACTTGAAATCCAATGGGTTTTACCCGCGCAGGTTCGAATCCTGTCCTCAGCGATATACTTTTTTATTTCTTTTTTAAGTAACACATTATGTTAGTCGTTTAAATATTTATTTTTCACGTTTACTTTACTCTCTCATACCTATATTATCTTTATAATTTTTTGAACGTATTATTTTTTTGTAATAATTTAATAACCCCCAACAGTAAAGTGAAATCAATTTTGTTATAATCTGTAGAAATATTACAATAATCGTCATTTAATATATACCAACATAATAAACGATATATACAGTTCCTATTGCGTTACAATACAATTGGTACAGACTCTGAGAGAGTTGGTCCAGCTTGAAACAGCTTAACGGTGGGGAACCGGCGTCCGGGTAACATAGGCTAGAGGAAGAGCGGCGTGTTTGGCGTTCCCGGCACGCTGCTCTTGAGTCGGAGGGGTGGTGTGGTCAGCCACTGATACCCCTGCCGATGGCGGAGTCCCTTTCGGGACTCATGCGTAGTGAGCGGAAGTATGGCTTGCCGTTCCCGCTCACTAGTCTACGCACAGCGCAGGGAACGTCGAGGTGGTTTAGTGGGTGGAAATCCCACATGCCCCTGTCGCGTTTCCCCCGCGGCAGGAGGTCTTTAAAAGATTCCCCTCGTAAAAAAAAAGCTTAACGGTTTTGCGCACAATTATCATTTTATCGAATATAAAGCAAAGCGATTATTGAAGAATACGTGGCATCTGTGACTTGGCCGCATAGTGACGGGGTGATTGATCTTATAAATACGTTTAGAAACAAATCATCTTTGTAAAAAACCACCATCTGTCTTTTCAGCATTATAGAAAATTCTATCATAATAAAAAAAGAACTACGGAGAATATTATTACGATATAATAAAAAAAATTGTACCGTTTCGAGAAACCTCCGATTACTAAAGTTACGGCCAAAAGCTACTTTTATTTGTGAAAAAACAAACAACGTATTATATGTATAACAGCATTAATTAAATTTCCTGACAAGACGTCCTCAGTATTCAAAGTGATTTCCTATTGTTCAGGGTTTTTTCATAATGGTATTACATATTCGTGTAGCCCGTGCATTAATGAAGAAGAGAAGAGAAAAGACATTAAAAGTTATTTAACATGACTTATCATCCATTTTCATAGGACTACTAATTGGTGCTGTTTAAATATGTATAAGAATAATGTTATGAGCATGTCATAAAAAATATTGTTTTTGCACCAACAGAGTAAACCTAACTTTCACATGAATATACCCAATATAAAATATTAGAGCCATTTTAAATAGGAAACTATAATATATTACTCATGTATTTCACTCCTCTCTTTAACCATCTCAGTGTTTTTTTCTATTTTGACAACTAAAGTTATCTGAAGTAAATCAATTAGGTATCTGAATACTTATAAGTAGTTAGTTATTTATATTTAAATAAAATATTATTTTAACATTTTCAGTATAATCTACTGCTATATACTGACTTCTCTGTTCTTATTCTTTTGCTCTATTTTTAGTCCATGAAAGTTAAGTCATCTTTTAAGAAGAAGCTTTTAGGTATTGTTTAACTGCGTTCACGAAAGACCCACAAAAGGTGACTCTGTATCTTTTTCTATCCGTTACTCAACATATACATTTGATAATTTAAGAAAATTTAATTATTAAAAAATCTTTATCAAACAAAGTTTATTTTTTTAACATCTAATAAAAATATTATGAATCATATATCTCTAGTAAATCTTATACCTAATCTATAATGTACACGTTCAATAGTAGGATAAGATAAAATAATCACTAGTGACTCATTCTCCAAATATAGCTTCAATGAATATAATACAATATAGTGTAAATTGTTGATTTTTTTTCATGATTTATCAGATAGAGACAAAAGCAACTTTAAATTTTATCTTTGTTTTTATTGTGTAAATACCTACTGAATGACAAAAAATCTCATGTAATTATGAAATTATTTCGATAAATATATTAACACATTACAAATATTAAGACTGGAGGAAAGTTAGGATTTCACAAGATTTTTGGACCTTATAGACATTTGGAAGATAAAATCAATCCCTACACCTAACAGGATTGATTATTACAAATAACATTAACAACTTAACATAAAAGAACTTATACATGTCTAAGCCAGTAATGTGTTTTTCATAATTGTACTTTTTCATAGTCATGTCGATATAAAAATATTTTGATTAATAATATTATATAAGTCGTAACAGTTTGACATAAAATAAACGAATGAGAGTAGACTCATACTTGTAACATTGATGTCCGGAGTCAAAAAGGAACTGACATTGACAAAGACATTTAAAAATCGCTTTATTGGAGCGGTGGGTGTTACAATTTATTGAATAAATATATGGTTTAATACGTATGAAAATGGTTATTTATGGAGTTTATATTGTTAGCAAATCTGGTGGACTGATATATAACTATGATCACAATATTCCGAAAGTAGAAACTGAAAAAACATTTGGATATCCATTAGATATTAAATTAGAATACGAAAATAAGAAAGTTGTTGTTGTTTTTGGACAGAGAGATGGAATAAATGGTGAATAATAACTGTGATGCCCTTTGGTTGTCGTTTTGTTTTAAACTGATTCCATGTATGTGTTTATTTGTAGTTAGTCATGTGTTGCTGACTGTTAATGGATCTCCTGTAAATGGCCGGACCACGGAAGACGGCAGAGATGTTTTTGAAGTTATAGAACAAAAAGTAAACATATGAGTTATTTTAATATAATGTAAAGAAAATATATGCAATAGTAACATCTCTATTATATTATTTGCCATAGGAAAACTATCCCCTTAGCCTAAAATTTGGACGACCCAGAGCTACGACGAACGAGAAGATCGTGCTCGCCAGTATGTTCTATCCACTGTTTGCTCTGGCCAGTCAGCTGAGTCCTGTTCCCAAATCTTCAGGAATTGAAACTCTGACAGCCGATACATTCAAACTTTCCTGTTTTCAAACACTAACAGGTATCATATATGAACTGTTACTGTAATTTATTTAGCACTGCAATAAGATTAAGAATGTTTTTTTTTGCTATTTAATTATTATGATGGTGTTACTTGTTCACTTAAGATTATTTCTAACTTTTCCGAACATTTAAGATTTGAAATTAAATGCTTTCAGGTCAACAGTGCAATTAGAGAGTTCCTAAGACTATATATAATTATTTGTAATTAATATTATGTACATTGTGTGGTTTCCAGGAGTGAAGTTCATAGTAGTGACGGATCCTAACATGCAGGGTGCGGACATCGTTCTTAAGAGGATCTATGAGTTGTACTCGGATTACGCTCTCAAGAACCCCTTCTACTCCCTGGAGATGCCCATCAGGTGTGAACTGTTTGACACCTCGCTTCATACTCTGTTAGAACTGGTGGAGAAATCTGGAACATCTAATTTATAAGTTCATTTGTATATATTAGCTTTGTTATTTATAATATAAAGTATGGATGTTTGTTTGAGAATGTTGTTCATAAGATATTTATGTAAAAAGTAATAAAGATACTTGATTATACAAAAACGAAGTCATTTGTGTACCTATTGGTAGTTTCTTGATTGGTGTCACAATTAGTGTTGCCAGGTCGCCAAACCTAATAGCTGGACACACCAGCCAGTTTGGCCGGACATTCGGTTAAAAAAGCTGGACACCCTATATTATTGAGGATTTTGTCTTAGTATTAATAGGTACGACAATTTTTTTAATGTAAAATCAAGTCTTTTTGATTATTATCATAAATCTTGTTAATTTCTAGTGAAATAATAAACATAATCGAATGCCAAATCAGTTTTAGATAGGTACTTTATTATTAATCAGTCAAATAGTTGTCAGTCAAAATTAAATTCTAGATACTTAAGCATTTATTTATTTATTCATTTATCATCATATTTGAATTTTTCTTAAAATATATAATAAAGGCACAAATTATACTTTTTTAACTAAAAAAAATCAATAACTTCTCTTTAAGTTAAAATATTAAAAAAAACTTTTTCTTTTTGAGTTACATTATAAAAATCATTATTTTTGGTTTGTCGAAACCTGCTTTAAGAGTTCAGTTTTTTCAAAATGTAGTTGTAAAAATCCTTACATGTCAAATGTTTTAAATTAAATTCTATTCACTTGTTTGCGAAATGTTAAAAGCCTAACAAAAGACGGATATCGTTTATTTTAGCTGGACTCGCAATCAAAAAGCCTAACTATGTCCGGCTTTATCCGGACGCCTGGCAACGCTAGTCACAATCATACAATATTATTTATGTAATATGCAAGTGTATCTAAAAAAATAACAGATCATTACTTTTGTAGAACTGTAACAAGAAAATGTCTTATATTTTATGCTTATTATTATAATGCATAATATTGTAAAGATCTCTTAATTAATAAAGTATTTGTATGTAAAATATGTAATGTGAAATAAAAACACCAAAATAAATTTAAGATAAAAAACTTTATTGATATATCATTATTAAATAACAAGTGGCCGGAGCCTGCTCTACTCGCTATCAGAAAACGCCCTTTGTACTTGACACTACACACAACACATGCTCGGGTCAGGGAGACCGGGACTAAAAGGGAAATGAAAACAGGAAGTATGAAGAATGATTGATTGAAATATGAGATTTATAAAGAAAAGAATAGTATGTAGGTTTCATGAGGTCCGGAGAGTGTTATTTAATGTTATATGATGCATGTGTCATAAGAGAGCGGTCGAGTAGTGGCGGGAACATGAAGTCAGTATGTCCAGGTCGGTACAAAAATATAACGACTCCGCGTCTACCTCTCATACTTAAGGCCTAATAATAATTCTAAGTCGGAGCGGGTCAGGCGGCGGCCTCTTAATGAATCCCTTAATTTAACATAATATATTATAGTGACGTCACACGACAATGTGTTACGTCACAGACCCTAACCTCTCGCCGTCGAGCGAACCAGAGACGTGTCGGCTGGAGCCTATCTTATACAACTAGACACACGAGGCGCCGCCCGCCGCTCCCTTATAAACTATGATCCTTATATTGAGTCATCTGTCCTCGTGTGTGTTGAAGGAGCCGGTCCGTGAGTGTGGGTCGTCGAGTCATCGTTGAACGTTCAACATGAACCTACATCTCATACAACCTTCCGTACTGTATTGTGAGCAATTCGATGGGTAATTTGGACATTTATGTTAATATTGCACTATTCTATGGCACTCTGCATTGCACAAAGTAGTTCTGCCAAAAACATATATTTCATTAGATAGTTTAATAATATCTGTATTACCCCGAGTCGTACCAACGATACAAATAAAGTATCCGTATAAAATAACGTCCATTCAGCGGGAGTCGCCAACGCGTGTCAGTTATAGTATGGGTGTAGCGTCCTGGGCGTGTGTCCGTGTGTCTATGCCTGGTGTGTCCGCGGGCCCCACAGCCTCAGCGAGTAGTCGTCGGAGGCGGACACAAGCACGTCGTGGTGCACGGGGTTCCAGGCCACCGCGTTCACACAGCGCGTGTGTCCGGACACCACCGCGATGGGCTCCTCGCCGTCGATGTGCCAGATGTACACCTTACAGAACAAACATCTTTATTATACTACTAATATTATAACTGCGAAAGTTTGTGAGTGTGTGTGTATATTTGTTACTTCCTCACGCTCAAACGGATGAACCGATTTTGATAAAATTTTGTATACAGGAAGCTGACGTCCAGGAATAACACATAAGCTACTTTACATCCCGGTAATCCCGGAAATCCGCGGGTAACGGGTTTGAGAGAAAAGGCTGCAGAATTAAGACACAAGGAATTTAAAGAATTCTTTTATGAGCATGTCTGTGCATACTTGAGGGGTTATGCAATTAAAAAGAAAAGTAAAACGTCATCTTCTCCGTCCACTGAGTATGTATAAAAGTTTACACGAGAATAATATCACTGGTCAACAAAAAAAACAACTTTTGCGTGTAACATGGAAATTTTCAACTAGTTATGTTTAGAGCAACTATAAAGATTACAGAAAGAAATTAAAATTCTTTCAATACAAACAGTTTTTTTGTAATACGATTTTATAACATATCAATATATTAGATGATTTCACTGATCTTGTTTAATATCACTACTGTTTAATATTTGTAATCTTAATTGTAGTTATAATTTTAAAAATTTCCTTTGTAAGCGAACTTTGTTCTTTTTGGAAATAAACTTCTTTAAACCTATCAATAAATTTAGAATTTTCGTCATCAAAACGAAGTTTTTCGATTTATTGAAGAACATGATGGATTTACTTTTATATTTTCGTTCGTATTTTGCTTCAGGAAGGTCTAGTTTTAATGTCCAACAGTAATATGCTACCGTACGTGAGCGATACTTGATCCAATATCGTTTTTCTATGATAGAAATTTCTCGATGAAATTTCACCATGTTCAACGCAGTAATAACTCAAATTTTCAGGAAAGAAGCCTAAGAAGAAAATGTTCTTTCAATGACGCATTACATTCCTTCAGGTAGATTAAAGCTCTGCGATAATATATTTACAGTCACTAGATCGATGATTTCCTAGAAAATTGTAAGTTACTTTCTTGAACGATTCCCAAGATGATATTTCTAAATTACTAAGCTTTTTTTTTAATATATCATTTGTCTGATTGAGGGCCAATAAATATGCCCTCTTTAATTTTTGTTTCACTCAGATTAGAAATTTTTTGGTGTCAAATATAAAAAGCCGTCACTACACCTTTCCATAGGTCTCGCAAAGTTCTTTATAAGTCCAAGCTTTATGTGTAATGGTGGTAAAATTATCGTTTCTGGATGAATCAATAAAGGGTTTTTAATATTTTTTATCCTGGAGTAAGAGATTGCCTTTGGGCCAGTCTTTTTTTAATATATGATAAAACAAAATACTGTTTATATAGCATAGTTACTAATGGTGTCAAATTAGTTAGCTTTTATTAAAAGCAATGTAGTCATAAATGTAACAAAATTTGTAAGGATCACTTTTACACTTTCTTGACATTATTTAAGAATCACTCGCAAACTAGAATCACTCATAAAACAGAATAATTCTCTACATTCTTCAAATAATTAAAGTTTCTCAAACGGAATATTAACTTTTTGATTTGTCTGTAACACGAAAACTAGACCAGATGGAATCAAAATAATTATGGTAATATAATAAGTGTAGGTAGGTTATTTAAAATTAGCAAGTGCCTATCTTCTTACTAAATTTTGTTTAGTGTATGTATGTATTATATATATTTTCGGTATTTTTATAACAAATTCCAATATATTATTGGAGGTATCTAACAAGATCTGTATGAAGTAGTAGGGGTACCTTATTGTCCTCGCTGCCGGACGCTATGAAGTCTTGATGAGCTCCTCCGAAGCACGCGTGGATGGTGAAGTGACCCTGAGACAGGCCCCTGAAGCGACGGACGAGCGCGCGGGCTCCTGGCGGGCACACACACACAACACAAGTGAACAACAACAACAGATCAGACACTACAGCAAGGACTACAAACTACATCAAGATTATTTCAACACTTGTCAGTGGACGATGCATATCTCATAATAAATATTATATTTAATACTTTATATATGTAGTTATCGTGTATCCAATATAAGTGTATAGTGAGTGTGTCGTACGTATGTCCCACAGGTGCACTCCCTGGTTGGCCACGTTGAGCAGCAGCAGCGTGTCCGCCGCGTTCAGGGTCATCGCCATCACCGCGTGCTCCTCCTGGATGCTGCGGACGAGACGCGGACCGTCAGTAACCTCGGCGGGGAGAGGGGGAGGTACAGGAGGGGGGGAGGGGGTACACTCACAGGTTCCTGTCGGTGAGGTCGGTGAAGTCGTAGAGGCGCACGCGGTGGTGAGTGTCGGCGGCCAGCACGCGGCCCTCCGTGCGACACGCGAGCGCGTTCACACGGACACCGTCCCAGTTGTTGATGAGGGTGCCCTGAGGAACACGACGTGACTTATACATTGGAACACTCGCAGGATGACCTGGCGCATACTCTCATATGTACGGATGAAAGAAGAACGATAAACGCTCCGCGTGTAGTCTGGCGAGGTTCCAAGTTAATCAACAACATGCTGCTGTGAACTCAATATTCTGTGAGGGTGTATACGTACGTCGAGCGCGCAGTGGTAGAACTGTCCCCGGGCGCCGCCGCACACGAACGCGTTCCCGCTGGCGTGCCAGGCGGCCGCCGTCAGCGAGTCCTCCTGCGAGTGAGTCATCTTCAGGTGCAGCTGCTCCGTCTGCACATGGACAACCTTACAGTGAACACGAGCAACAGGGAGGGGGGAGGTGTTTTATTTAAGTCACAAATTATAACTAGTAACGCCATCTATTGTACCTGTTATTTATACTTATGTGTCAAATTTGAATAAAGTCAGTCGGTAACCGAAAGTGCACGTTTTAATAGGTTATTTTTTTATTTATTTGGTAATCCAACAGTTTTTATCCATAAGTTTCTATATTAACTATTATATAACATAAAATTAAAACCAAAATAGGATTACATAGGTAACTTTAACATATTAATAACTAGAAGATGGTAACATAAAAGTAAAACTTATAGTATAAAAGTAATATAAAGGTAAAACTGTTTACGGGTGGGAATCCAATAGGTGTGTGTTTGCATGATTGTGTGTGTGTGTGTGTGTGTGTGTGTGTGTGTGTATGTGTGTGTGTGTGTATGTGTATTATTATGAATTTTTATCTTTTTTAATTATAGCTAGTTTTGACATGCTAAACAGATCAATTTCTGAGTATTGTGAATTATATGTGTGGACCATGCGATTAAGGACAGAGTTGTGTGCATAGTTAGTATTTAGCTCAGGCGTGTGGAATAGTGCTGTATGACGTGCGCGGCGATTAGGGACTCTTAAATACAAAGCGCTCAATAAATCGGTGCAATCTACATATATCTCTGGTAATTATTGCGTGTAACATATACATATCATAATGTCCTCGTCTCGTTTCTAATGTTTCAATATTATATTGTTTACATATATCAACATAATCGTTAAATTCTTTAAAGACCTTAAAGCAAAGAGATTTTATGAACTTTTTTGTATTCTTTCCAGTTTTTCTTTGTAAGTTATATAATTGGGAAACCATACACTACAACCGTATTCTAAAATACACTGTACATCAGTAAAATATGAAATTTTTATGCATTCAATACTATTAAAAGTTTGACATATTCGTTTTATATAGCCTAATTGCTTATATGCCTTATCAGTAATGAGTTCTATATGCTCTGCCTTGGCTTGTTATAATATATTATGGTTATATTCAATACTTCTACGCTTCCTAGAAAATGTTATTATTACCGTTGCTTACACGCCAAAACAAAATGGTGTTTGCGAAAGAGCAAATAGAACAATTGTTGAGAAAGCAAGATGCATGATGTTTGATGCAAAGCTTGGAAACCAGTTCTGGGCAGAAGCAGCAAACACCGCTGTATATCTTAAAAATCCATCTATGTACAACTATAAGCCTTGAGAATATGACACCATATGAAGCGTGGTATAAAAAGAAACCAGATGTAAGTCACATACGTTTGTTTGGAAGCCCAGTAATGGCTCACATACCCAAAGAAAGATGATTGAAATGGGTTAAAAAAGCTGAGCAGTACATTCTTGTTGGATATGCAGACCATGTCAAAGGATATCGTGTTTATGATACAAAGAAAAATAAAATTTCCATTAAGAGAGACATTATAGTGATGGAAGGAAAACAGGGTATTGAACAAACAGAAGAGAAGGCTATTTGGATTCAGAATGAAGAATACAACTTGATTCAAAAACGGGGAAGATGAAACAACGCATGATGTGCTAGAATCTAGCATAGAGAGCAGAGATTCAGTGGGGGATAATACTAGGATGAATGAATCTCTGACTAGTAAAAGTTCTGATTCATCGGCTTATATGGATCCAAATGATTCTACAATGATCACTTCAGTTGACTCAGTTACATCAACAGATATTTCATTGAGTGAGTTACAAGCTCTAGATGATGATGAAGCAGTTGACAATAAGAGAGTGAGAAGACCACCGATTCGTTTTGGTTACATAAACATGTGTACTTCTAATAACTTGCCAGGAGCCGAGGAAATAAACTTTTCTGAAGCACTGTGTGGACCTGAAACTAACCAATTGAGCTGGCCATGCATGAGGAGTTACAGGCATTTGAGTCCAATGAGGCATGGGAGCTCATTAATGTACCCAGTTATACTTCAATAGTAAAGTGCAAGTGGGTTTTGAATAAAAAGTTTGATGTTAACAGTAAAGTTAGATATCATGCTAGACTGGTGGCCAAAGGCTTTTCCCAACGAAGTGGTATTGACAATGAGGATACTTTTTCTCCTTTAATAAAACATTCTACCTTAAGAATGCTATTCGCTCTTAGTGTACAGTGGTGTATGAACATAACACATCTTGATGCGACTACTGCATTTTTAAATGGATGATTAAAAGAAAACATTTGTATGACTATTCCTGAAGGTTATGAATGTAAAGATAAAGGTAAAGTTTTAAAACTTAAAAAAGCAATTTATGGGCTTAAACAATCATCATCAATGTGGTATGAAAGGGTAAAAGATTGTTTAGTTAAATTAGGTTTTAAAATGAGTTGTCATGAACAATGTTTATTCACAAAAATTGTCTACTGATGTCAAAATAAAAGTGGCACTTTATGTTGATGACTTTTTGTTATTTTCTACTTGTAAAAATGAAACAGAGAAATTAATAAGTGTATTAAAAGCAGAATTTAAAAAAAAAGAATCTAGGGTGTGTACAACGCTATTTAGGTATGAGGAGAAATGTAAATAAGAAGTCTAATACTATTACAATAGATCAACAACAGTATACAGGGTGACTGGTGAATTACTATCGATATTTGAGGACGTGATATTTGACGATCATATATGACAAAATAAAAATTAATATAACATAAATATTAATAAACTTCTGAGTAAAGTTAACCAAAAGTTATGTAATTAATTACGCATCGTGTGAACACCCTACAGATTGGGTATACACACACACTCACACAGACGCAGCGGCGGCGTAGTGTTGTATCAGCACGCCGCCGCACGCGTCCACACTTGCAACACTTGGAACGTGTCAACACTTTATTTATTTATACGGAAATTTTGTCAAAAATTAAGTACCTATTTTTTTTACTTAATTTGAATGAGAATCATGTACCGAGTATGCTCCTTAAATATTGATAGTAATTCACCAGTCACCCTGTATAGAACAATTGTTATTAAGATTTAGAATGTCTAACTGTGGATCCATAGATACTCCAATAGAATCTAAGTTAAATCTTGAAAAGGCAGAAATAATGTATCAGATATATGTTATCAAAGACTTATAGGACGTTTAATGTACTTAGCTGTCATGTCTCGACCTGATATTTCGTATTCAATTAGTTATTTAAGTCAGTTCAATAATTGTCATAATGAAACTCATTACAGTCATGTTAGGAGAGTATTGCGGTAGTTACAAAAAAACCAAACATTATTGTTTAAAATATAGTGCAAATAATGTAATTAAAAGGTTTTGTTGATGCTGATTAGGCTGGCAACATACTAGGCAGAAAGTCCTATACCGGATTTTGTTTTATCATGTGTGGCTCAGTGATATCATGGCAGAACAGGAAACAGAAGTCAGTTTCATTGTCTAGTACAGAAGCCGAATATGAAGCATTATCAGAAGCAACTAGAGAAGCTATATATTTAAGGAATTTGTTTCATGAGATCACAAGTAAATTGTGTATTGTAATGTTACATGGTGATAATCAGAGTGCGTTGAAATTGGCAACCAGTAACCAATCACTCAATAGAACAAAACATATTGATGTATGTTATCATTATGTAAAAGATGCTATAAAAAATAAGTGTCAAGTAAGCATTATAAATTCTTAGAAATGATAGGTCTTGTTGATTACGTTTTAAGTTTACTGTAATATTTTGTAAAGTAGGGGTGTTGTATTCAAATAACAAATTATAACTAGTAACGCCATCTATTGTACCTGTTATTTATACTTATGTGTCGAATTTGAATAGTCATTCGGTAACCGAAAGTGCACGTTTTATATTTTATATAATATATTGCTGTAACCTGTTCATATTTTTCTGTGTAAAACTCTTTCTATTAATTGTAAGTGTGTTTTCTTATGTATTTTTAAGTTCTGATGTATTTTTTTTTTATAAGTGAGATATTTAGTATATAATCTGTGTTCGCATAGTTGTTGGGTTATAACTCAGCTCATTTATAATGTTTACTCATCAATTATTTGCATATTTAGTTATAATCTGTTGTGTGAACCGTAAATAAAATAAAATAAAAAATAATAGTGGGTACCTCCATGTTCCAGATCCAGAGGTCGGGGCAGTCCTCGGGCCCGGCGGCCAGCAGGTGTCGGCCGTCGGGGCTCCACGCCAGGAACGACACGCCGTACGAGTGACCCTCCAGTGACTTCCTGCAATATAACACACACACTCAGATAACACACGAACGGTACCCTTACTCCTGTAACCGTGTGAATGTGTCGTACCTGAAAGCCAATCGTTTAGTGACGGGGTTATAGTCCCATATCATGACGGTGTTGTCTTTGGAACCCGAAGCCAGCTTGGAGCCGTCCGGGGACCACTTGCAGTACCACACCTCGTCACAGTGACCGTTCAACACCTGGAACATTAGGCGAGTGATGATAGAGACACAAAACGAAGGCGAGGAGCACATCTCATGAAGAATACAGCGTTCAAAGCGAAGCAAAAATATTACTATTACTGGCATAAAGGAATCAACCTCTACAAGTAATGATGAACGAAAAAATATGGATAAAGAAGAAGTAACCAAAATTATACAGGCTATTGATGGAAATTGCGATAAGCCAATAAAAGTAATACGCCTTGGGAAGTACGATCCGAATAAAACTAGACCCATAAAAGCTTGCTATAGTTCTAAAAACACAGCTAAACTAATATAACGTAATAAACACATAGTAAATAACAGTTCCATTAAGATATATTCAGATAAAACACCTCAACAACAGTCCTACTTAGAAAATTTAAAAGCCGAACTGGATAACCGGGTGGAAAATTAAGAGAAGAATTTGGTCATAAATTATTTTATAAACATTCCCTAAATAATAACAACTTCGCCAAAAAACTACAAGAAATAGAAGATAAGCAAATGACAAGCTTTTTTAAGCCGCGTACTAAATACATATGGAAAAATGTGCATTCAAATATAAAAGACGCAAAAACGACGGCTAATTTCAAAAAAATACTTATTTCCTAAATTACTAGTAACCATAACGTTCTAAGTTAAATTATTTAATAAATAAAAATGTATGTCCAAAATTATATTTAAGAACCTTAAACTAACATAGATAATTACAGAACCTATGTTAAATAAATTACTGTATAATTCATTGCATATCAAATATTTTTTAACATTATATAAAACTTCTAAACTTCGGTATGTTAATACTTCCAGTTGCAACAGTTCTTTGTTCCTATGCATAAAGTGTACCGTACGAATTGTCGAACTACCCAACATTTTTTTTATAATTTTATTATTGTTTTAAGTGAATGTAAATTCTTTTAAATAAAGTTCTTAAACCAAAAGAAAACTTTGTGTCAATAGAGGAAATGTTAGATTAATCCAAATGTGTCACCTGCAGGGAGTGTATGGGGAACTGGTCGGCCGAGCAGTGGTGGTCTGCCAGGAGAGAGAAGGGGATGTGGTCGGGGGCGGCGAGCTCGTCCTCACGGTCAGGGGACGGGGCGGGGGGCGCGGGGCGGGGCGCCGCGTGGAACCGGCAGCGGGCGGCCTGCTGCGCCGCGGCCTGGGCCAGCAGCGCGCGCAGGCGGCCCGGGGACATCATGAGCGCGGGCGGCAGCACGGCCTGCACGGTCGCCAACAGACGCGCCCGCGAGCGCGGCCCGCCCGGCCAGCGCGCGCGCTGCCTCAGCTCGGCGGCGTCGGCGCACATCATGAGCGCGGACAGGCGGTGCACGCGCGCCGTGTCGTACTGCAGCGGCGTCAGCTCGTTCCGCAGCACGTGCAAGGCGTCCAGCACACGGCCCGCCTCCAGGTGCTCCAGGTACTTCTGCTCCAGCACCACGAACTTCATCTCCTGGAAACGATAGCATCCGACGTCAGAGCTCGTCTATGTGACATATTCGATTCAATTGGTGAGCGTGGTGACGTACGGCGAGGTTGTGAGGCTCGACCTGTGGCGAGTCCCGCAGCAGATCGTGCAGCGCTCGCAGGTCGTGGTCCGCCTTCACCCAGTCCCCGGCCAACACGTGTGTACGGAACGTGGCGGCCGCGGGGTGCTCCAGGTGTAGCCCTGACTCCTCCATCAACAGAGTCGCGCTACGTCTACATACATACGATTACTATAAAACATACATTTGTGAGATAAGTTATACATTTTAATAAGGATTCATGTTTTAATAAAAGTTTTTATTTGGTATCACAGGAGATCAATTAATGTACCTCTCTGTGGAGTGACATATAGTCAGTGTGATGACCACCGTCCACCACAGAATCATTATGGATATAATATTAATAAATGTTTCTTGTACTCAAATGATTCATGAACATTTAATTATCCCAATATGGGACACAATGTTTCATGTAGAGCAGGATCTATATTTGGATTACATTTATATTATAATATTGTCGTTACTAAGTTTTAATATTTTCAATAATTATGAATATATTTTAGATGAAACTTTTCCAATATTCAAGCATATGTTCTTCATTAAAAATTTGCAACAGGGAACAAAAACTATGATTAAAAATCTTGAATATAAAATCTCTCCCTATATAAATGCAATTCATGAAGTCGATTATTTTGTTTGAAAGTAATAACAATTGTTATTAAGGTAATACAAGTACAGTGAGTCATTGTCAGTGAACACAAGGGATCAAAAGGCACACTAATCATGATTCAAACATTGATCAATACTTTTAACAATTCATCAATACTATTATATATTACAACAAACATTCTAACACTCATCCATGTGTTGTGTAAGCCCAGATATAATTTGAATGTCACACAGATTATAATACCAATATGGAGTTTGACATTATTGATTTAAATTGTGAATTTAATTAAAATTAACTCTGCAATTTGCAAAAAAAAATTGGTATTTTTCAGTATCTCTGTTAATCATCTTGGACACTAAATTATTATGCACTTATATATTATACAAGTGGGGAGTATGTTTTTATTTTTTTCATTAGCAATGAATTATTTGATGACACTAAACACATTGGGAAGAAGCTAAATTACTATAATTTAAGAAAAGTATGTAGCTTAACTATTATTTTACAGAATAATATCACAGGCCTACAGGTCTTGTGAAGGTCAAAAGATAACTATAGTAATATATTGAAAATAGTAGAGTACACTATCAGAAACTACCAGCATTCCTATCTACTGTTGGAATTAGTACTTTCGTCCGAGTTGGTATTGTCACATATACAACGTTTTTCATTGATATATGTATGTTGTCACATAATATACATACATAATAGTATTACAACATCATTAAATGAGGAAAACAAGCGCTTTGTATATATAGTTCATTATTATATTAAGGTCTTTACAATCAATTTGTTCTCCAATTCTAATGGTTTGTGTTACTGCATGTTTCAGTTCCAACATTTTCTACAACAATGACAATGATTCAGAATAGAAATCAATTCCAAGGATAATATTATTATCAGAAGTACATTAAATGTTCAATCTTTATAAAATATTATAAAATAATAAAATATTAATGTGTTTTAAGTGGGCATATTTGTCAAATCCTTTGTATTATAATATCTGTCACTTCTTGTCTCCAACCATGTGCCAACAATATGTTCTTTGTTGTGGTCGGTAACAACACTAACAAGATCACTCTACACCTACCATCACACATTAGCAACATGCAATCCGAGGATCATAGATTTTGTAAAGTCATTATTGTGGTTTCACACAGCTGAGTGTTGTTTATATTACAAATAATGATGTCATGTGAGTGTTACATGATAACATTTGTTTAAAAAATGTTTTAAATAAATAAATGTAAAATATTCTCAAACATACAAACATTCTTCAATACAAAGGGCCTCCTAACATGCATTCCTGAGTGATCCAGTAGTTGGTGGTGTGATACTCACTCGAGTCCGACCGAGAGCAGGTGCTGTCCGATGAGGCGCACGATCTCCTGGTCCGTCTGGCTCATGCGGAGCCCGGGCGGCAGGTCTCCGTTGCGGGCGGCGTCACCGTTGAGGTGAGCGCCGTTGGTGCAGGGCTGGTGCATGGTCGGCTCCGGCGACAGCCTGCGCGTCCGCTTGCGCGGCGGCCGTTGGCCCTCGTCCCCGGAGTCACTGGAGGCCAGGCTGGCCCGCTCCGCTGCGCGTGCTCGCCGCGCTCCTCCGGTCACGATCCTCGCCTCATCGGCCTCGTCGTGGCGTGACGTCACGCCCGCTGCTCCTCTCCCGCACTCAATTGACCATCTCCCTTTGTTCGATGCTAAGCTTTTCTCGATTGTTCCCACAGCACCTCGCGTTTCCACCTATCTACAACCGATACCGTGAAAAGAATATCTTCAAAAGGAGCCCGATAAAATGTCTAAGAACACTAGTGGTGCCCCGTACTGTGATCGTACACAAAAATCAGCTGAAAATGAAACGACAGCTGTCTATCTTTAATACGCTCAACATCGCCCTTTATGTTGCGAGTGACGTTCGTGTGTTGTTCGGTTGCGCATCGGGTGGAATCGTGTGCAATGTAATGACCTCAAAATAAAAATATTGTGTCACGATGAACGGTAACTTAACATTGATGATAACAAAAAAAGGAAGCACTGAACACAACAACGGAGATGATCGACAAAATTAAAATTGTTACTAAATAAAAAATATATATGTTAAGAAACGAGACAAACTTAATTACTTACAGTAGTAATAACAAAAACTTTTTCAACATTACAAAATACATAAATGCGTGTATCGAAACCTGTTTTGTTATATATTATAATGTCTATTGCTTCTGTCGATTATGTTGTCACAAAGCATATCTTGACAATTACTAAACATTTATAGAAACTGCTAAACCTGAAAATATATGTAGAATACACTTGTAAATTTTTTATATTTAATGTTTTACTGCAGAAAAATTATTTTAAACTTAATATAACACTTGTAATTTCGTTTTTAAATATTTTATCCCTTCATTAAAACAGGACAAAAAAATTAGTATCGAAAATATTTAATACATCGAACTTTAGAAATACACTTCTTGTGACAATGTTATGATTTAAGAATGTGTATAATGTTAGCGATAGTTTCCACTTTTTTTGTATCAAATAATTTAAATTTTAGGCGATGGAAGGATTTGCCTTAAAGATCATAGTTTTAATATATATTTTTATTCAACCGTCAAACCTTCAACTTCTTATCAATGTTAAAAATCAGGTATTTCATTGGAAATTATAGCTAATTAGGGATGAAGGTATAGTGTAAGAATCTTAATAGTTGAATAATTACAGGGTGGTGATGTTATGCAGGAAAATATAACAGCAAACGTATCAGAAGATACAGTTACCCTGGAGTTCTTAAGACTAGATGGAATATACGTCTCGCAACTCGTCGACTTCACAAATGTACGTATTGGGAATTAAACTTTCCCTTGTTTTTATGAAACATAACAGACTAAGCCGAAGAAATGTGATAAGAGTATCATCCCTAAGAGATAGAATCACGTATAATAGAGAGACTTTACTGTCCATCCCCAGTCGTAAGATTAATGGAAGTATATAACAGATGATGGAAACAACTGGGCTCAAATATGTTTCATGATAATCCTCGACTATTTAGATATAAAACAATATTATGATCTCGTAATAATTAGTTAACATGCATGTAAGTTTAAGTTTATGTATATACTTTTTATTTTTTAATGTTTAGTTTCTTCTTTTTTTGCTGCTTGCCATTACAATAATTAAATTATTATATTGTTTGTAACTCGTGTTATATAAATGTTGAGCTTGTCTGTAATAAATATAAACACCAGGATAAGGCAGTACTGGTGTTGTATTATGATAAATGTTTGTGTTTATAATTTATATTGTTGATGAGCCTTTAAATAAATAAATCAAAGAATGTTAAGCATTGTTAATTGTGGTTTAGGAGGTGGAGGCTATGAAAATTGTGATACCAGCTGAAGAAGAGCTGGGTCAGACTGGTCACCAGATACTCTGCTTCCTCACTCACGCTGCCCAAGCAGACTTCATTGCTCCTGATGCTATGGCCAAACTTCGTCAAGTAAGTTTTTAATTTACTTCACACAATAATTACATTAAGGGATGGTAAATTTAATTCAATACTGTACAAAAACAACAATGAAAGGTTGCCAATTTGATTTCTAATTAACTTTTTAAAGAAAAACCCGGGCACAGTGAGGGTGGCAGAGGAAGACAAGGGCTGGCGACAGACTACTACAACAGCCTGGGCCGGGTTTGCCACCAGGCTATTGTCTCCGGCAGCTGCGAGACACTGTAGTGCTGCTCGAGACAGGGTCTACTTAAGAACTGCAGATCTTACCAGATGGGGCCCTCGTCCTGGTAAATTAATTCTGTACATGGAGCAATACTTACAAATGTGATATAAAGTTTGTTTTAAATTAATTTTGTTATTAAGATGAAACTTAAATAATGTTTTTCTAAGAGGTTTATTAAATTATGATGTCAAAAATATTACTTGAATAATAATTATTCTGAATACTTTGGGTTTAAAGAATTTATTCTCAAAAAGGAGAACACACATACAAAAGTGAAAATACAAAAGTAGTCGCCAGATTATTTGGAACCCAATTAAAGATAGTAAGATATTATTACAAGTGTTACATTGTTGGTATATAGATTATTATCTAAAATATGTTGTGAAAGTTGACATTTAAATTCGTTAATTGAGCTTGCATTTCTTATAGTAGACGGTGATTTGTTGTAAAGTTGTCCCTCAGATGTAATATCCTTTTTTGCAAATTTTGTCCAAGTCTTTTGGAGAACTAGTAAGCTAGGTCAACGGGTGCTACTCGTACTGACTTGTTTCATAAATGACAATTTAGAGTGTACAGATTTATTAATAATTTTTCTTATTAGAATGCAGGAATTGTATGTATTAAGTTGTTTTAAATTCATAATCTTCATTTCTTCAAAAATTTTAACTGTAGATGTAGATAACAGATATTTAAAGAGTATTTTCATTATTTTGTTTTCTTTGACGTTCTTGTAATTTTGTTTTATTAGCATTACCACATATTTCAATTAAAAATAACAAATGGGACTTAACTAAAGAGTTGTAAATATTATAGTATAATTTTTGTGGTATGCACCTAGAAATATTCTTTAGTGATCCAATTAAAGAGGACAGTTTTCCTTTAATATGGTCTATTTGATTGTGAAAATTAAGGTGCTTATCTCTTCTTATTCAGATGTTATAGAATTGTTTTTAGCTTAAACTGGTACAATTATTTTATTATCAGGTCTAGAGCAGTCTTCATATTCATCAGAAGTAACACCGTTTCCCTCACATGTCCTAATGTCGGACACTGCCGACGGTAAACCTGCAGTAGGTGTGTGTGTTGCTGAAACAGATGCTGGCAAGGAGTGCATCTGTCATTTAGAGGTGAATTGGAGATTTTAAGCATAAACCGTTCTTTATTTGATTTTGCCGAGTAATTTATTTTTTGAATAAAATTCTTTCAGGTATGTGTCAACTGGTACCCATGTGGTCTGAAGTACTGCAAGGGCAAGCCTCAGGGTGGCTTGAGCTACAGATGTGGTATCAAGACTTGTCACCGATGCTACCGCTATCATTACTACGTTCACCGACGTGACTCCTGCCTCAGCTACTTGTGACCCCACGCCGGCCCGCGGGGCTCCTTACTGTGCCAAGTGTTACATCTAGTCGCTTTAACTTATTTTTATACTACAATAACTATGAACTGACAATACTCTGTGTCTGTGAATATTTTGCTAGAACAATATTTTTTAAACTAAGAATAAATGTTGATTTTCAATTTGTTTTATCATTTTATTTATTACATTCTATTTACATATCATCACTAGAGAACACTACAACATATCAATGACACCCTGGAAATGGCTCGTGTCTATTTTTTCTCAGAACAAACTCTATTTTTCTCTTCATGTCTTCATTGTAAATGGCCTTGCACTTCTCATGGTTCACTCGGCGCCTTGTCTGAATAATAAAAGACATCAATTCGAAACATATTCATTTTGTTATATATGTTTTTAAATACTTGGTAATTATATAGACTAACTAACCTGGAAAGGTTTTTCATAATATCTGGTAAGCCTAAATTGTTCAAGTATTCCTTCTTTCCCAAGAATTCTATTGACTATCCTACAAGCACCTTCTACATCGTTATTTTTGACAAAGACTGTACGTGCAATAAACGAAGGATGTCTATTTGCTAATAACTTAAGAGTTAAAAACATTTTATATTATTGTTAATTTCAATTGTTGTAAAACGCTAGGTTATAATCATCTGACATTTCATTTGACGTTTTATATTTGATTTCATTTGACGCATTTGACGTTTTATAATTGCTATATAGAATCGACTAACAAATACGGTCAATAACATTTTTAGTTTAAAAATGTTTATATTAATAATTATTTATCATATTTACCTTAAGATAAATTATAAAATAATATACAATAATGAAAATTAATTTAGATTTCTCCTCCTTTATTTTCCGCTTGCAAATGATTATTAATATGATTTTTAGCAATTTTAGAGATAACAAACATTGACATTTTATGACCCTTGATTTAATAAAATTTAAAACGATTTATTTAGATAATTATTATATAAGTGCGATTATTCATTATCATTGGAATATACAGAAAATCATATATTTTAAAATGGCAAACGATTGCGAAGTTAAGTCGATTATGTCCATATCATCTAAATCGGAAGGAAGCACGGCTCCGCTATCTCGCATACGGTGGCGAAATGCTCCCCTCCACGAGAGATGCAGCATGGCTGACATGGTCAAGATTAAAGAAGCGTTCCAGGCAGCTTATAGAAATAAAATGCTACCATCAGAATTTAGAAATCTCTTGAGGACATTGTTGAATGTTGAATATGATGATGATGAATTCAATATACTTTTTATGAAGGTAGTTATTTATAATTAGCAGTAGTTTTATTCTACACAAATATTTAATCACTATTTTTCTGCACACTTACCACATTTCTTAATTACAAGTCGAGGGATCAATGCCGATTTATAAAATACGAGTTTCAGTTGAATGGTTTCATTCAATTGATAAACTATTACCTACTTACTTACCTATGAAACGAACTAAACATAGCTCCGACGTGACTATAAATTCTTTATAAATTGATATACATCTAAGAGCAGAACAACTTATTTAACGAAAAGCAAAAAAAAGGCTATAAACAAGATTTAAGGATATTTTTGTGATGTTGATAATTACTTTTTATTTTGCTCCTAACTGATGCACACAACTGTTGCCTTTTTTTTAAATTAAAACTAGATAATATTGATTATCATTTCATGACGACAAGTAGAAGTTAGCCCAAATAATGAAATGCCTAAATACTGGAATACCTACTATTCCAGTAATTTCAATAATTATTTTCACTAATTCACTCATGCCTTTAAGACACCAAAATGTTACGAATGTGGATCAGCAGGATTACTCCTATAAGTTATGAATAGCACGGGAGAAAAACATGAAATAAATTGTCCCATAATCACCTAGCCTTCGACTCTGTTAACTTATAGCAATCTGTCTGTATAGATAAATACGGCGCGCAACGGAGAAATCGATTGGGACGAGCTCGTGTCGCATCTCCTTCTGGGTTATTTCGGTAACGACCCTGAGAACCAGAGAGCGTCCCTCCAGCTGCCGATTATGGGACTGCCGACTGTCATGAGGTCGCAGCATCGGCACCCAATATCCAGAATATGTTTCTGTCCTGACGTTGCAAAGGAAAGAAGTCCTCATTACAATACTTAGAATCTTAGAACCTCAGAATATCCATTTAGTATAGGTGTTCTTCAAAGATGATTAATAAACTATCCCTTTCCGTTTATATGCTATATCACGTCGCATAACTGGATGTCTAGAGTCCATTTAAATAATCTCTATGTGTGAACAGGACCGTAGCACGGACCCCATGCAGGGCAACTACATAACGGCGAGCCGTGACGGAATGATCAACTGGTGGTCCCTGGACATGTCGCTGTTAAGGACTGCCTACTCTTCCAGTCGTTAGTGTTTTTGTACCTGGATACGACTTCCTCTCTTGACATTGATGTATATCTAGTATAATTGCAAATAATGTTCCAGCTTACCTGAAAGTACGCACGACCTGGGTGACGGACATGGTCTGTATGCCGGACGTCAACATTATCGTGACCAGTTCCACCGAGCGGGACCTGCGCTTCTACGACTGTACGGCGAAGACTTTCACCCTTAAGATCGTCATCACGAGCTGGGAGTACATGGTAGGTTTTCTCTTTTAGATAAAACATTCGAAAAAAGTTCTCACCAATGTTATTTCATATATGTATAAATGTAATTGTTTTAGATCTGCTCCATGTACTACCACTTCTACAAGGACCCGAACGAGAAATGTATCCTTATCTTGGGCGACGTGGGCGGTCACGTGCGCGTGCTCTCCTTCTCTCCTATAAAGCGCGGTCCGTTCCGTAACCAGCCCGGCCGGGCGCTGCAGCAGCTGCGGCACGTGGACCTCCAGCGACGGGTGAACTGATTATCCCTTACTATCTCTTTCCCACCCTTCTGAGTGTCAACACTGAAAGGTGGTAGTTATTGTCTAGAAAAGGTCCAACGTCCAAGCAATAATTTCCTTTAAATGAAATAATGTATCTCAGAACACTGCGATGTTCTAGATGCTTCATTGTTTTTCCCTGTTGATTGTCGTAACCTGCCCGCACAGCCCCACCTGTTGCCGGAGCTGAGGTTGACGGAGAAGGGTCGTGTACACGGCGAGTGGGTCCGCCAGGTCTCGTTCTATTCGTCCCTGCACTGCATCGTCTCGTGTGCAACTTGTCCTGACTCACTCCTCATGTGTGATCTCGCGGGCTCCAAGACATATAACATGTTCCACGTCGAGAAGGTACATCTTGTGTTCTTTTAACGGTTCCTTATTAGAGTAAATACTTTTACAGGATGAGTTTGTTGACCGAATGTCTGTCAGAAGCGAGTAGAAGTACAAAAAAATAGTGGAAATAAAATAGAATCGAAAAATCTATTTTGAAGTATACCTATCCTATTTGTAAATGAAAGGTGACGAGGTTCTATTTTAACAGTAGATTTGTATTCTTTGAGTTTTAATGATAATATTATTATGTATCTTATTTTATTAATGTTTAAGCGGTAATAAATTTAAACACATATTGAATTCTGTTTATAAGCAATTTAATAGTTGAAAAAAAAATACTAATAATTTTGTAACCATTTCAACTTAAATATAAACACGGGATATTACTGTCAAACGGCAAAAGTTTCAACCATAAATCTCAATAAAACCTTTTTATCAACCAAGGTTAGTACAAATTAATTATACATATTTTTGTGATATTAGATATGGAAAATTTTAAATTAACGATGTTTCATCATTGAAGTATCTATGTTTGTATTGAAAATTAAAATACGTATCAAAAAATAATCAATACATACGATTGAATGCACTTGTTACTATAAAATATGACATACAACTGAAAAACATTGTATTAGTCTTTTACCTATTACCTACTTTTTTTGCAAATGCGGCTTTTTTTTTACAGTTTTTTACTTTTTGTATTAGACGTTTCTTCTAACGCTCTTGTAATTCGGTATCTTTTATTTTTTGTTCTTTCTTATTTAATTTTCAGTTGTTGGCTAAAGGCTGCCTACTAATAAAAAGTCTCTATAAAAACTTGTAAACTTGTGTCACAAGTAGAACAGAAGACCTATATAATAAATGACCTGAAAATATTTGTTTTTATTTCAAACAACTTCAAATAAGGAGGAGTTTATCAAATCGTTTTATTTTTTATTCTAAACGTTAGATTAATAAACAGTATTTAAGAGAAAAGAGGTCAGAAATCAGCGTGTGAATGATAGACTTTACGTATTCTACGGAAGTAGCGATTATGGCAATATTTACGCTACCATAACACAAGCCGAAGTGGAGTCCGTGCACTTGTTATAAATTTAATTTTTAAACAGGGCATTCAGTGTTTCACATTCGACGAGGAGGCCCACATCCTGGCGACGGGAGGCCCGGACTGCACGGTCCGCGTGTGGAGCCCCTTCGTGCCGCGCGCCGCGAGCGTCACGCTGACGGGCCACCACGCGGCCGTCACGGCGCTCGTGCTGCAGGTGTCCGCCACCACCATGCTGTACTCGCTGTCCAGAGACCGCGTCATCAAGGTCTGGGACGTGCAGGGACAGGTGTGCCTTCAGGTATACAATTGCTTGTATGGTGTATTTAGTCGACTCCAAGTGTTAAATCTATTCACCTTTTACTCATCATGTTTTTTACTACAGACATACATAGACATCCCTCCGCAAGTGGGCGAGCGCACGCCCATCTCCGCCCTATACAACCCGGTGACTCGCGAGTTCATAGTGGGAGCCATAAAGATCGCCGTGGTGGTGCTGGACGAGCAGCTGAACCCTCTGCACACGGACGGCTTCACTCACTCGCGCGCCGTGTCCAAGATCCTGTACAACCCGCTGTTCAAGGTGGTCATCACGTGCGGCCTGGACAGCATCATCATCAACTGGGATCCGGTCACCGGTACACTAACATACTAACAACTATTACAAGCCCCTCCAATGCGTTTTCATAAAGACTGCTTTATTTTACCCGGCAGGTAAGAGGAACGCCATGGTCCGCGATGCCCACACCCGCCTGCTGCACGGTGAGTCCATCCCGGTGGAGATCACGGCCGCCTGCTTCGACCCCGGACACCAGCTGCTGCTCACCGGCGCCAGGAACGGAACACTCAAGGTCGGGGCCGGTCCACTCACTCTACCGTCCTCTATGTACACAAGTATTATAATCGGAGTCCGTCACAGGTGTGGAACTTCAACACGGGAGTATGTTTGAGAAGTATGGCCATAGAACACATGTGCGAGGTCACGAGCTGCTTCTGGGTCGAGGGGAGGTACAATGTATAGTCAGTTAGACTTAAGCTGAGCTTCGCATTTGTGTGAGTGAGAGTTAAAGGAGAGTTAGACAAAAATGTTTTAGAATTAAAAATTTTTATATTTTAAATAGGTACCTTACATAAGTGCTATAAAATAAGTAAAACTTGTAAAAGGCCAGATGGAAATATTATGATTATTATGGAAAAAAAAATATTGATTAATAAAATTTTTGAAATAACTATACATATTTTTAATCACTTGACATTGTGTTTACAACATTTGATATTGCTATCAGTACAAAGGGTAAAGTGCGGAAGGTGCGGAGCGGAGTGTAAGCAGAATAAACCGGTTGAAAACTAGAAAAGAACGTGGCATTCAAAAATTTGACATCACACCTACACTATGCGTGTGCACTCACACAAATGCAAAGCTGAGCTTAAATCAAACGCACTATACTTACGAGTATCTATTGACATTTATAAAAAATTGTCTGCCGACATGATTACTAAAAAAAGGTGTGTCTGATGGACAGGATCCTAGCGGTGGGCTGGAACCGACACGTGATAGAGTTCGAGGACGCGGGGGGGTCGGGAGGTTCCGGGGGGTCGGGGGCGGTGGAGGGGGGCGGCAAGGCCTGGGAGACCCGGCACAGCGACGACGTGCTGACGGCCGCCGCCCGGCCCCCGCTCACTCTCGCCACCGCCTCCTACAACTCAGAACTCATTCTGTGGAAACTAGAGACGGGACAGCCTTACAGGTTATACGAGCAGACTCTATGTCTACACGGTGGATGACATTACTCTCTTTTCTATTCTTTTTTATAAAAAACGTCGTTTTCCGCAGGCGATTTTCTTGCACGGAACCGATGTTGCGCATCAAAATGCAATACAGCAAGCGAGCAGCCTCGCCGCAGACGGCCTCCACGACCTCCACCAGACGGAGCACGTCCACCGTGAGGCGGCCGAGGTGGGCGCCACGTGTCATTGGTTCATAGTAACTCCCCGCAGCACGTGTTATATTAACGGCTCGTGTACAGCGTGGGCGGTCAGCGGGAGTCACTCATCGACTCGTCCGCCGCCATGCAGAAGGCTCGCGCTCGGCGTGTGTCGACGGTGTCTCTGCCGGCGCGCGCTCAGAAGATGCGTCAGCTGGCCGTTCACGCCACCATATTCCTCAACACGCGACCCTGCCATATGCGCGTCGGCACGTATATTAAACTTCTTACACTTATACGTTCAGATTGACGTAGTGTAAACTCATTAACTTAAAATTTAACAATTAGTCCAGTCAAAATAGACATATGACTAAGGAAAAATTCGCATATAGCTGAAAATTGCCAGAGACTTTAAATACATAATTATAAATGAAATATCAAAAATTCCCTTCGATCCTACTTCTGCAAAAAATTTATTCAAGATCAAAAGTATAAAATTAAGGTTTTAGTATTGCTAATGATTAAAGTGGAATAGGTTGTTTTTTTCTACATCTTATATATTTAAACGACCAATTCTTGTATATACCTATATATTATTTATTGGAATCTCAGAATCCGCTCCAACGATTTTCATTACATGAAATATTATTAAAGGAGATCATTCTTTTTGTGCCTTTTTTAAAAGTGCCGGCCAATAAAAAAAAATGGTACATATTTGTAGAACTAACCATTTGGAACAATAGTTAATATGGCGCAAAAGTTGTAGGATCCAAGATATAGAAGTTATACAAGTTTCAAGATTCATCATTTTGGTACATTTATTTTGTTCTGAAAGTGCCAAGAAACATAAAATAATGATTGATATTGCTAGAGTTAAGCTTCTCAAGCAAATCATTATAGTCATAATCTATTAGAAACCTGTCGTTTTTATGTAATACTAGCGAACCCGACACACGTTGTTCCGCCAAGTATCTGAACGCATGCAACACATTTCTTGATGATTTTATTATTTGTCTAAAGTAATATGTATATCGGGGTGCCATTTTTATATATTAAAAAAATGGGCCTGGAAGCACTTTTAAATGATTTTGTACCATTTCGGGTCGGATTTGATCATATGACGCGAAAGCAAGTGGCGCAGAGGAACCTCATAGTGCCAGAGCGATTATTTGGTAATCCTGATAGTTCGATTGAAGAAAGAAAGGCCATCTCTATACTTGATGGCACTTACATATATTTACAGAAGAGCACTAATTACTTTTTTCAAAGAAAATCTTATAGCAACCATAAGTTTCGAAATCTTTTAAAGCCATTTTTAAATATCTGTTGCTTGAGAAGCTTAACTCTAGCAATATCAATCATTATTTTATGTTTCTTGGCACTTTCAGAACAAAATAAATGTACCAAAATGATCAATCTTGAAATTTGTATAACTTCTATATCTTGGATCCTACAACTTTTGCGCCATATTAACTATTGTTCCAAATGGTTAGTTCTACAAATATGTACCATTTTTTTTATTGGCCGGCACTTTTAAAAAAGGCACAAAAAGAATGATCTCCTTTAATAATATTTCATTTAATGAAAATCGTTGGAGCGGATTCTGAGATTCCAATAAATAATATATAGGTATATACAAGAATTGATCGTTTAAATATACATATAAGATGTAGAAAAAAACAACCTATTCCACTTTAATCATTAGCAATACTAAAACCTTAATTTTATACTTTTGATCTTGAATAAATTTAATGGCAGGAGTGAGATCGAAGGGGATTTTTGATATTTCATTTATAATGATGTATTTAACGTCTCTGGCAATTTTAAGCTATATGCGAATTTTTCCTAAGTTATGACTTATTTTTGTCTACTTGGACTGGACTAAATCTTCTGACCCGTTACATATAAAAAGCTAAACATCGACATGTAAATTGTGAACATGTCTCATACATTAATCTCTGCCGACCTCAGCGTCGCTGATGGTGGCGCTGGAGAACGGCCAGGTGCAGTGTTGGTCGGACCACCCGGCCGGCGGGCTGCAGGGCTCCTTCCAGGGCATCCACACGGCGGGCGATTACGTGTCCGCCTTCGCCACGGACATCAACAACGACTACCTGTTCACTGGCACCACGGTCGGATACATCAAGATCTGGCTCATGACCAACTACCTCACCAACGAAGAGGTTAGCGAACACTGGGAAATACACACATGTCAATACCTACAATGATTATTAATGTCGAGTACCGATGCTCTCAGCGAGTTTTAAGCCAACATTTAAAAAATCTAAAGTCATATATTATATAAAACATTAGCACAAAGCAGTAGGGCCCAACAAAACCTACATTCGACTGTCGGAAACCTTACATGCATTTAAAAACTCCTTTAAGAACTTCTATCTCTCATCACAGTTATGATGACGACATGATTATGACAAATATTTAATAACATCATATATGTATGTATTATGTATATATATGTATTTGTATGTATGAATTAGTGTCCGACCGAAGCTTCGGCTTCGGCCACCTTCGGCCAAAAAAACCATGTTCGGCGAAGATCCGAGCAACCGTCGGGACTGAACGAACTGTTACGAAAAACGAAGAAAGAATGTAAAATAATAGAATTTTTAAAATATTAGAATATTATTCTTATAACTTGTTGTTGGCAAAACAGTCATTACTTGATTATTTATAACTATTGTTATTGTTACATTAATTTTAAATTTTTGAATATTTTCTAAACTGTGCATTTAATTGACCAACATTTAATTATTTATTAAGAAATTGGTGTTTGTTCATTTTATTTATTAGTCTAGTTTCGGCTTAGTCGAGTAAACAGAGACTGATTGATTGGTCTAATAGTGATTTATGAATTACTTAATAAATAAATGATTATTTTTTTAAGAATAAATCAACATTTTTTTATCATCTTTGAATCCACTTCCATATGAGTCAGACAGTCAATATAAAACTTCAATATTGAAGTTTCGAAATAATAACATTAATAATTGTAGCTTGTAGACAATATTGAACAAAATTACTAAGAGCTTATAAACCTTCGGCTTCGGCTTCGGCCGAAAATAGACCTTCGGTCGGACACTAGTATGAATGTAAGTATGCATGTATGTATGTATGTATGTATTTATTGATATATTATGTATGTATGTATATTACTGAATATTTATTACTGTTATTTATTTTTGTATGTGTTGAGATTGTATTTATTTTAAGAGTATTTAAAACTGCACCACCCCATACTGTCTTTCAAACACAATCCTCTAACCCAAGGTAGTCTGGAAGCCGCCTTTTGTTTCACCATTAGTTTATTAGTTTGTATATTTTGTGATTGTAATTGTGGTGTACAAAAAAGTGTTAAATAAATAAATAAAATACAATAATATTAATGAAATTGGATATTAAGTATTTAGTTGTAAACAATGTAAACGAATGGTAAAAGCGAATTAGACAATTATTGATGTAAATGACACCCCAGTGCTATTGAGAGACACGAATATTATAAACAGAGCACTTTTAAATACATCTGCAATGAAAGGCCATAAAAAATAAAGAGTAGCGGAATAACTCCCTGTAAGCAAGTTTGTTAGGGATTTGTATATTGACCTTTATACGAGCTTTAATGAGTCGTGGTGGGCGGCTGCGTTAGGTTCACGTGAACATGCCGAAGCTGCGGCTGACCTTCCCGTTCCTGTGGCGGGACCGTATCGAGGGTCGTGCCAAGCGCTGTGTGCGCGACCAGCCGCTGCCCCTGCTGCTGAGCAGCGTGCGCGCCCACCTGCGCTGCATCACCGCCCTCGCCTACATCGACGACCTCCGCCTCGTCCTCAGGTGCGGCCGCCTCCTCTCCTACTCCGAGCTGCTGTCCTTCTATCCTCACCTGTCATTTTTCCTTCCAGCGGTTCTTCGGATTACAGCGTGAGAGTGTGGAAGCTGTCCGGGGAGTACCTGCAGACGTTGGGTAGCTTCTTACCGTGGACGTTGGAGGTCACTCGCTTCCCTCCCGATGTCAAGAAAGTCGCCAGCTTTACAACGTTCAAGGTTACCGATAGTTGCATGGCACGTGTGTGGTGGTCATCTTCCTCCGCCCACCATACTGCATATACCTACTATATGTTGGTGTGTCAGGTGTGGCGCAGCGGATGGGTGTCCCGCTACACGCCGGGCCAGGTGGAGGTGGACGCTCTCCGCGACATCACCTCGCACGAGCTCGCCACCCGCACGTTCGGCGCGCCGGCCCCCGCGCCCCTGCTGGGTCACCACCTCACCCTCCCCCGCAAACCCGACCCTCAGCCGCCGCCGGTGCTCGACGACTCGCTGCCCACAGTAATTACTCGTTGTTAACCTACCCTACTCGTCTATTTCGTCGTTTCTCGCCGGCTCGCTACATCCAGTCCCTCTCCCACAGATCCCTCTGTACACTCACCTCCGCATGTCATCGACGCAGCCCGTCCGCCGCATGCCGACCCCGCCCCTGGCGCGCGCCACCCGCCTGCGCCGCGCCGCCGCCGCACGTGCTCCAAAGACTCACTTCCAGCATGGCGACAAACGATGAACGGCAATCGTCTTATAATATATATAGTTTATATTTTGATATTGTATATACGGAGTTAGTAAATAATAAACTGGCTATGTTTAGTGAGCGACAAGCGTCACCTTTAATTATAAATATGTGGTTACCGAGCTTTTCTCGGTATTTAGGAATTATTAGTATTTATTTTGTGTTTTTTTTTTATTTCGTTTTGGCATTTTCATGTGAACACGTTATAAGAAGACACAACACAATATAAGGGTGAATATAGGCTATTTGGTTTTTTCGTGTTCCAGAAGGAAATGTTATCGGTTCCATTCGAAATTTATAATTTATTTATTTAACACTATTTTAAAATTAGTAATCACAGGGGCCAGACGATTATTAATTTTTTTCTGTTTTATAAGCACCAGAGGAAGTGTATTACCAGAAGAGTGACATTGTTGCCAGAGTAGTAACAATTCAAAGCAGAATATTGTCATACCATTGATTATTATTATTAGCTAAGAAAGTTGACCAATATTAAATAAACCATCTGTTTCGTTCTATTTATTTATTTAAAAAAATGACACTCCTCTGGCTATCATGTATGTAATAGTATGTAATATAAAATCACACATAATGTATTAAAATTAACATCACTCACTTTTCTTACATTAGTTTAGGTTAATATATGACATCTACGGACAATAAACATTGATTATAGAAATTGACAATGTCGTAACGATATAATAAAAATATATATGCATACCAAAGTAAATACTCCAACGGCTGGCACAAAATTACTTTCCGAAAGTTTATAGGAAACTGATCTAAAATTATTTTTTTTGCTCGAATTATTTAGCTTGCCTCTAATATCAAACAGTTTTTCTCCCATTCTTTAAGTTCAAAAGAACAAAGTTGTGATTTTTAATAAATTTTTAAATCTTTGATTTCCGCCAGATGAAGTGACAGAATTGTAATATGACTCGAAAATAAGTTATATGTTTCGATGTTCATTAAAGCGTATGACCATATTAAATAGAAAACATAATAGTGTACTTTTTGAAAGTTTTCAGCTATAAGCTCATTTTAATTCAAAAATGGGAAGGCCAGAGGAGTATACATTTTTAACTATTTTAAATTATAAAATTATCGTGAATAGTCTTTGTGGGCCAGATAAAAATTAAAATGCCATGTCCTTTATTGTTTAAGCATAGAGAGACCATGATATAGATAGAATATACTTTATTGTACACCACAAACAGTAAATTATACACGGAAAAAAATATAAATTGGAATGTACAAAAAGGCGGTCTTATCGCTAAGCAGCGATTTCTGCCAGACAACCTTCGATTTGGAGAAATAGTGCAGCGAAGACGTAGGTGGTGCCTTATCCTTAAATATACACTAATACATATATAAATAGATACATACAGTACATACATATATACATAAATATATATACTAATAAATATACATGAACAATTACACATATAAATATAATAATATACAGGGTGACTGGTGAATTACTATCGATACTTGAGGACGTGATATTTGACGATCATATATGACAGAATAAAAATTAATATAACATAAATATTAATAAACTTCTAAGTAAAGTTAACCAAAAGTTATGTAATTAATTACGCATCGTGTGCACACCCTACAGATTAAGTGTACACTCACACACACATACGCGTGCGGCGGCGTAGTGTTGTATCATCACGCCGCCGCACGCGTCCACACATGGAACACTTGGAACGTGTCAACACTTTATTTATTTATACGGAAATTTTGTCAAAAATTAAGTACCTATTTTTTTTACATAATTCGAATGAGAATCATGTACCGAGTATGCTCCTTAAATATTGATAGTAATTCACCAGTCACCCTGTATAAGTCGTCTCAAATATTTACGTTAATAATGTAGACACAAAAGTTAAATAAATCATAGTAAGTAAAAAGAAATAAATAAAAACAAAATAAAATCAACAATTAAAACTGAATTTTTACATTCACTCCTAAATCTGAATGCGTCCAGGTAATTTGGATGTAGAAGGGTGACTTTGGCACTATATACAGTTCCTAGGAACATTGCCGCTGTACAGACGATATAACACATAGAGAGAGCTCACATCTCTTCGGAGGCTTGAGGGTTTTAGATCGTTTGTGAACAGGGTATTATAGGCAGTAACTTTAAATAGTGACGAACCTGTGCTTTTTGTAGTAAAAGCTAGTTTCCCTTTGTGAAGTACTGCCTCGCTCTACTCGCTACCCCTAGTTTTTAGACGCTAATGTATACTTATCCTCCAAATGTTTCTAGAATCGAATTGGTAGCTTCGATACAAGTGCGCACCAGCGGACACGAGCAAAATCCTTTACATCATTCAGGAAATAAAATGTGGTCAACTTTAATGACACATTTAAACATTTGTATAAGTTCCAGAATTGTAGCTCTAAGAATAACAACTATTACGTACAACCTCTCATACCCTTCCTTAGAATTTTCAACCAATCCCTCACATTAAAAAACATCATTTGTCTTCTAAAGTTTATTACACATATATGTAAGTTCAGCAGTTTTGGCGTATAGACACACAGACGGACAGTTATTTATGTTTATAAGAAAGGAAGTAGGGTTTCGGTTTGAAGGTAGGTCAATGACGTACAAACGGTTCCATTCTATTAATTTATTAAAATATAGGTGCTTTATGACGTCACAGGTCGCTGGTTCGTTGTGGTAGAACATGTTCACAGTTTGTATCGTAGAGCCAGTACATCAGTTGGGCGCGTCCCTCTTGGCGCCGCTGAGCACCACGAAGGGCGACTGTGTCTCCCGTTGTTTCTGCTGCAGCATCTGTAACGTGTTGAGAGGCGTGTCCGTCGAGCTCATCTTCTTCATCAGCTGGAAAAAACACATCGGTTCATGAGTGTCAACGTATAAGGCACAATGAGAGAGTTAGTGTCATAATGTATGTGTGTGTGTACTCACTCCCTCCTGCACGGCCTTCTTGATCCTCTTCTCCTGCTTGTTCTTGCCGGGCCCCTTCCCGTGGAACTTGTGTGAGAGGTAGCGGAAGGCCTCCTTGGGACACAGCGGCCGGCCGTCGTCGTCCACGTACTCTAGCTTGATGTCGGGTCTGAAGTCACTCTTCTCCCTGAACTCGCTCAGAGGTCCCGAGTGACCTCCTCGCTCGCGCCGACCGTACTTGTCGTCCTCGCTGGAAGCGGGAGTAGTAGGAGTTAGAATTAAAGAGTAAGATATTTGTCGTGTGTTCGTTGCTAGTTTGTTTTGCAGCTGGTTATCTATTAAAGGTTTGTTTAGTGATGCTAGTGGTGTGAGTCAGTTGTTACCCGTAAGTCTTATCCTCGATGGAGTAGTGTAGCGCGGCGAGTGCTGCCAGTGAGGAGCGCGCGGGTCTAGGGGCGGGCAGCGCGCCGTCTCTCTCCAGGTATCCCTTGCTGAGCGCCAGCCGCAGCGCGCCCGCCACGCCGGCCCCAAGCGCGGGCTCTGCCTCCAGCCCGGCGCCTGTCGCTCCTTCTGTTATAACAGGTCACAGATTATCCAACTGCCCCCACTAACCTCCCTTCTCCCCTCCCCCTTCCTCCCTCCCCTTCCTCACCATGTTCAAGGTCCGCAGGTTTGTCTGTCCGCACGTCCACTCTGCTCCAAGCGCCGCCGCTCGCTCCACTTTCCGGCTCTGGCTCAGCTTCCTCACGATCAAAGTCCTATAACACAGCAAATGCGTAACGTAACAAATGGACTTAATTTGTGAAAAATATTTTGTGTTTTATAAAATACTAGAGGACCCGGCGAACTTCGTATCGCCAAGAAATATCTGTTACGTTTTTTTTATTTTCTATTTTTGGAGTTTACTTATTAAAGCCATAAATCTCCGTCTTTTGAAGTGCGACAGAATGATTGACATATTAGTTAGTTGTCAAATCTAATGTCAAAAAAAAAAGTTTGTATCAACAACTACTAATAAATTAAAAATTAATTGAAGAAACATTGTCCAGCGGACAAAGTTGTGAATCTCAACCATTCCCAGATCCCCTCGAACACACACAAAAAATTTCATCAAAATCGGTCCAGTCGTTTGAGAGAAGTTCAGTGACATACACACTCACAGAAGAATTATATATATAAATACAGTGTGTATTCTGTCTTTTCAACGAAGTGTTTTCCTCACCGAGAGTAGTTTTCTATCCGCTACTCTACCCTCGTGAATCTACCTAGCCAGTTCTAACTGTAAGTCTGTTCTAGTATCACATAAGTCCCACCATAATCTCCGCGGTGTGTTCTCTGTTTCCCGCCAGTCCGTATGTCGGTATGTCCCCGAGCGTGCGACAGAACTCAGCCGTAGCGTCCAGCACCATGCTGCTCCCGGCCTCTTGACTTTCTTCTGTTTTCTCTTCTTTAATTTGTTCAAGGATCTCCTCCAGCTGATGGAACAGTATATATGATTAAATTAAATCAATATTTTTAGGATTCTCACAAAATCATTAAAACTATATTTTCTTATAAAGCCATTACATTAGGTAAATAACAAATAAAACCTTAACTAGAACAAGCTAATTATTATCTTAACACATTACACCTTAAATAAGTTAAATTCAATTTACAATAATACAAGTCGTGTTTACAAAATACTTTCCCGCTCAAAATGAACAAGCCAAGCGTCATCGCGTTAATATCACTTCGGATGCGTTCGGGAATATAAAGGTTCGGTTCAAGTTAAAAGTGTGTTCCCTAAGTACATATATATTAATCATTACAGCCGTGACAACTGATCGTTACGTCATCTGTATGAAATAGTTCTTAGTGGTCTTATTGAATGACAAAAACTGTGTTGGTGACTTCTAACAAACAGTATAGTCCGTTAGACTAAAGCTGAGCTTTGCATTTGGGTGTAAAAGTAAAAGTAGAGTTACACAAAAAAAAAATTAGAATTCAATTTTACTATATTTGAAATAGATACATAACATAAATGCTATAAAAATAAGCAAAACTTGTAAAAGTCTGGATGGAATATTATGAATATTGTAAAAAAAAAATTATTGATTAATAAGAATTTTGAAAAAACTATACAAATTCTTATTTACTTGACATTGCTACCAGTACAAAGGGTGAAGTGCGGAAGGTGCGGGGCGAAGTAAAAGCAGAATAAACCTGTTCAAAACTAGAATAGAACGTGGCATTCAAAAATTTGACATCACATCTACACTATCCGTGTGCACTCACACAAATGCCAAGCTCAGCTTAAATCAAACGCACTATACAATCATTTGATAATAAAACTAAATTGTTGTTGTATCACTGTTCGTCTCTCCCCTGTGTCATGTGTGTGTACCTTAGGCGTCCTGTGTTGGTGACTTCTAACGAACAGTACAATGATTGTTATTGTATCGCTGTTCGTGTCACTCCCCTGTTCCCTGTGGGTGTACCTTGTTATTGTATCCCTCCCTGTGTCCCTCCCCTGTGTCCCTCCCCTGTGTACCTTAGGCGTCCTGTGCTGGTCCCCTCCCTGCCTGAGTCTCCTCGCTCGATGTAGCGCCGCCTGTAGCTCCGTGTCCACCTCCACCTCGTCTTCATCCAGTACAGGCGCGCTCACCTCCTGGCTGATCTCTGAACACATAAACAATCCCTCACTAACTATTACTGACTACTGTCGCTTCAATAGATCCGGCGAGGAAGTTGGACTCTACTTAAAGCTAATATATATGTTGAAACGTCGATTATAAAATAGGCAATAGGATATCACAGTAAGCATGCCATCCTAACAGCATGTTAAATAATAATACTATTTTACTTGTTGTGGTGCATGTGTCACTTATACCATGTACCATGTACATACATTAACAATAACTTTAATGTAAAAATGGTGGTGGCTTTTATTATTTTTAATATTTTACCTTTTTCTTAAATAAGAATTTCTATGAAATAATTATGTAAGACGTTTATATCGTAATTTTGTTTGCACATTTCCTTTTTTATTTTATTTTCTTTTGTTCACTGTTACTTTTTATATATTTATTCTTTGTAATGGTGTTTTAACTCAAATAAATTATTTTATTATTATTATGTTCAAAGTCCATTCTTCTGTATATAACTCCACTACATCTCACCTGTGTCGTCTGTGTCCAGAGGTACGGAGCCCGCCTCGTGTTCCTCCACGTCGATGGGCTCCTGCTTGGCCTTCTTACGTATTTTACCCTGAAACAAACAACTTGTTTATCAAATAAAACATTTACAAACATAATAAACAATATATACATCGTCGGGATAGTGCAAAATCCTCGTAACTACCATTGGATTAATCTGCTTCCAATGTAGATAACATTGGAAGCAGATTACTAGAAGAAAGTATAAACTGAAATATTTTCTATATTAACGTCTTTTAAGGTAACTTTCTAACAACTAGTAATTATTTAGTGTTTAATTTATATGCCGAAATATCCAATGGTAGTTACACGAATTTCTACTATCCCCAACGATATATAATAATAATAATCATTTATTTCAGACCATATTACATAGATCTATAAATGATAGATCTATATAATATGGCTAGATATTAGATATATAGATGGCTTATAGTCTGTAGTATGTAGTAACCTTCTTCTTAACTTTCTTGAACTTGGCCTGTAGCTCGTCTGGCTGCAGGTAGTCACTCGCAGGTCGGAGGCCGCTGCTCTGAAGCGACTCCAACACTTTGTCCGGACCGCCCGCTATCAGTTCCGCTCGCTGGAAACAAATTATAATGTATGACTCGCTACTACCATAAAATACTAATCGTTTATAGAAAACAAGAAATATTCTAAAAATGTATGAGAATTTGAAGACAAGTTTAAGTCCGATTTTAAAATGTATTTCATTGTACAGGGTGTTCTAAAATCTCTGCCTTCCTTAAAGGCATGTATACACAATATATGTAAAAGTATAAGCTTATTACAAAAAAATAGTATAATTTAAAAAAATATCAAGCAGAGGTCAGTTACAGTGCATAGGCTAAATAAGTTTTAAATCGACATTATTTGAGAAAATGTTTCGAACATCTGACCCATAAAAGGTTAAGGCGCCGTATAGTCGCACCGGCGCACGCGGCCTTTCATCGCAGGCGCCGGGGTTCTTATTATTTTTATTATTCTGTTAGTTTTCGAATAGAGATTTGCAAGTTTAAAAATTAGGTATATCGATAAATATTCTATCGATATTTTCAATATTGCTTTAAATAGTTATGCTTTTCACATTAAAATAATTTAACTTAAATAATAAATATTATTAATCAGTATTATAATTTGGAGCTTCTTCAGGTAAATTAACTATGTTGTATTATTAGGATAAATCATTAATCTATTTCTGTTAAAAATTGTGTTTTACAATCAAAAATAATATTAATGTTTGATATGTATATCAAAATAAGTATCGAAATAATATGAATATTAAATATTTATTTATGTTATGATTTTTTAAATATCGATATTTTCAATAATGTAAAAGCAACTTCGAGTTCGTCACTAGTAGCGCAGCAGGTGTGATGACGTCATTGAGTGTCATCGTGTTATACCAGGGCTTACAAACATTTTGTTACTCTACATATAATAATCACTAGCTTCTGCCGCGACTCCGTCCGCGTGGAATAGTGACTTCCGGCAGATTTTTGGTTCTTCCCACATAGTTCGAATCGAATGGTCGAATTCCCGTAGAATTTTCAGGATAAAACCTATGTTTTTTTTATTCACAATGAAGTACTCTTAACCAACAACATATTTATTTGTTTATTTGAATAAAGATTAATATTATTATGTGGATACAACTTAACAAATTATTTCGACCAAATTAGGTACCATAAAAACGGTTTTTGTGAGTTAATCTTAAAAGATACTTATACTGTCGCGGACTGTTTTTTAAATCATTAAAAGAGCTATTATTCTTTAATACATACTTTTTGTGTATCGTATATATTCTTTAATACATACTTTTTGTGTACCGTTTTCACGGCGCACGCAACGGAAGGCTTTAAATATGAAATAATTTCTCCCGTTTTTTACACATTTACCACTATATCTTTACTCCTATTGGTCGTAGCGTGATGTAATATAGCCTAAAGCCTTCCTCGATAACTGGACTACCCAACACAAAAAGAATTATTCAATTCGAACCAGTAGTTTCGGAGATTAGCGCTTTCAAACAAACAAACAAACTCTTCAGCTTTATAATATTAGTATAGATGTAATATTCAATTTTATTATTTTTACTGAAGAGTTTGTAAATGTAAGTTTTTTGATTGTGTTCCATTTTCGATACTGATAACTCAGTTAAGGGGGTTGACACAGTTTTTCACCCCCCCCCCCCCTCACCATCATGTCCTTGAGCTTCTGTTCCATGAGCGCGTCCTCGTCTCCTATGAGGAAGCCCCGCGTCTTGTCCCCCTTGCCGGGTTGTATCTCGTCGTCGTACTTGGCCAGCACGGGCCTGCTGTACCCGAGCGCCGCCTGTATGTCGGCCTCGTCGTCGTAGGCCTGGTAGCCCGCGCGGGCCTTCTTGCGCTCCTCGATGTTCTGCAAGTCGTTTATGTTTGTATGTATTGTGTATTTATTTATTTACAACAAGCACACTTACAACATACATATTGAATATTTAAAGTCAAAGTGACTATATTAAAACATGAGATATGTAGGTCAATGACATTTACTAAATATAAACAGTGCACAATTAAAAAGTTTACATACTAATTTAAAGATAAAATAAAAATATTACGTAAAAATCACAAAAGAAAATAAAAAATATTACTAATTTAGGAAAAATTTAAGTTAGAAAAAAAAATATTCATTTTTTTTTTGTTTAAATACATAAAATGAATCACTAACTAGGTCTAGACTTGGTAATTTTTTGGAAGTGTCATTATAAAATTTTGCTAATTGCATTAAGGAAGACTAGGTTCTAAGATTAGTTTTAACGCGCGGGATGTGAAATGTGTTCGGAATTGAATTCCTTGGGCATTTAGAAGGAAGCGTTCGACTAGGCCACTGTACTGAATATCACCATTAAGTATTTTATGTAAGAAGCAGAGACCCTGCACACATCGTCTGTCACGAAGACACAGCATTTTGAAATGCAGAAGCCTTTGAACATATGGTTGTCTATGCGAGAACTCATTTGAATGGAAGGCAAGATGCCTAGTGAAGTTGCGCTGAATACTCTCAACACGTTGAGAATGAATAGTATAAATGGGATTCCACACAATACAAGCACATTCCACTTGACTACGCAAAAAAGCATTGTACAGCTAGATCTTGGTAGTCACGGAAAATCCTTTTGTGTTACGTTTGATAAAACCTAATGTTTTAGCTGCTTTACCAATAATTCTAGTAATATTAGAAACAAACTTTAATTGGCTATCCACCATGACACCAAGATCTCTAATCTCAGTTATTTTTAGCAATTGTGCGTCGCCAATAGAATAACCTGACACAAGTGGTTTTTTTTTCGAGAAAATCTGACATGAAAACATTTATTGATGTTGAGAGTCATAGAATTTGTTTTGCACCATTTATAAATTCTATCTACATCGTTCTGAATTATCTTTGTGTATATTACTCCCCTACAGTAAGTCCAAGCCCCGCCTACCTTCTTATACTTCTCATCGTCCACAATGTTCACGTTAACCAGGACATCCTCGTCGTCCTCCGCCAGCACCTCCTTGTCCGCCAGCGTCAACACCGTCTCACGTTCCTCGGGCAACTGGAGCAGCGAAACAACATTTATACACTTTGAATACATTTACTCTGTGTGCGTGTGCGCGCGCGTGTGTGTGTGTATGTGTGTGTACCGCGTCCAGAGTGTGCGCCACCCGCAGCCCCTTGAGGTGATCCTGGTGGTAGGCCTCCTGTCGTTCCCGCTGCTGGTCGTCCGCCACAAGCGCCCCCACACCGAACACCTCGTCCATTTCGTCCAGCAGAGCCGCCTGAAAGGAGGTTTCCGAGCATTAACAACTATTGTTCCCAAAATGTTTGTCAAGGACAAGGAATTTGTATATCAGAAATGTCTTGGTTACAAATAAAAAATAAAATGTGGGTACATTTAATTCTGAGAACGTTTTGACTAACCCAGTTTGGTTCGAATAAAATGCATGTTTAGTTTATATAAATTTTTATACCACAACACAATCAGATGCTTCACCGAATTCAAAACAAATCCCTAAGACATCAAACAAAAACCTATTTGTGTATGATAATATAATGCCTCACTCTCTTGGCGGCTTCCTGCTTCTGTTTCTCAATGTCCCGCGACTTCCTGACCCAGGCGGACGCGTCTTCATCGTCAGAACCCTCGGCCAGCAGGGACGTCTGTAACCTGATGTTAACATTGTTATTAAACTATGGAACACTGACTACTATTATCATGAGCCACGAGATGGGTTCGGAATTAGTACGAGAACGTTAATACATATAATCTATTAATGAGATCTCAGATTTTCGCATATTAATTTAAATGAAGCTAATATTTTTCGGATGTACTAAGCGATTTTTATCGCATAGTCATGTTGATCGTTTAATCATAATCTATTAACTTCTACGTGCGTACACGTACACTTCAGCATGTAGTGTTTTCATTATAATCATGTCCACATAGTTGTAAGGTATATTAATGTATATACTTATTGTCGATGTCTCTCTTGTCCCTCCTCTCAGCCAGTTTCTCTCTCAGCTTGTCGGCCTTCTTCTGCGCGGCGATGTTGGAGGCGGGCACGTGGTAGAACTCTCCCAGGTCGTCTTTGAACTTACCGTCATCTGGAACAAAAACCACTTGTTGGGTAACTATTTGTATCTTGGCTCATTTATCCCAACTTTTGCCAATCACTACATCAGCCAGTGAATGTCAAGCCTTGTAACTGTGCCTATGTATTATTTTTTATTAATGTAAGCAAAAATCACTGTCCATAATGGCACCTAGAAACAAGTTGATATTCGATATGCTACATTGTCAATTTAATACATTATTATTATATGTTCTGTCGCAGAGTCGCCATTCTACCATCGAACTGTAATGTCGTTATAGCAATTAAATATTGTAAATTATATTAAAATACAAATATCTATACTCAATTGCCTTTCATTACATGATCCACAAGATATAAAAGGCGAATAACCACTCACCAGCAGGTTTCTCTGGTACTTCAAGTGGTTTGAGCCCCAGCTTGGCTCGTAGTTTGTTTGTTTCTTCTATGGAGAGACTCTCCTGAGCCGACCCTGAGGCGGGCGTGGGTGATGAGTCACGTTCTGACTCCTGGCTTTTGTCTCGTCTGGAAAACAAAAAGTTGGTTAAAGTCACTCAAATGACGAGGAAAAGGTAAAAAATGAGATAATTATACTAAGTAAGTACAGCTGCAATCAAAAGACAGCATCAAAGTCAAATCACTACAATAACAGTCTCATCGCCGAATGAGTTAATTGTGTATTCGTATTGTTATGAATACTTTAAAATGAAATTAATATTGTTCGGGACTTTAATTTTTGATAAAAATTACATGCTCCCGACGATTCGGTTACTTTTCAGCAACCGTGATTACGTTCAGACGAGATGTGAATTTCTGAATGTACTTAAGAATATTATTAGACTTATTATGTAGTTACCCCTCATGTCTCCTAGCGCTGGAGCCGCTGCTGCGCGCGGGCGAGGGCTCCGTGTCTCGCTCCAAGTGAGAGTCCACCGGCACCTCCTCCACTGAAACAACACAACACTCATGACATGTTTGATTCATGTTAATAGTTACAAGCTCTGTAAGTCTTGTTTCCGACAGGTTCCTTATAGTGTGTCACTTAATTTTGTATTGTAAACGTTTTGTGGCCTTTATTTAACTCTGACTTAAAATTTATTATACATATACATTTCAGTAATCTTCTGAAAGTCTGTCTTCAAATTGAAATATATCAGTTATGTGTTAGAATAATTGTTTTTGAAGCTTGTGCTCTTTGATAATAATTATATTTATAGCGAGAACATGCTGTACAACAGAGACAGTACATGCATTGTATTTTTTTTTTGTTATTCAGCTAACTTCTTTAGATAATGAACATATAGTAAATTTTCTCTTCCAAAACCAGTACTTAATGACATCTTAATACAAACTTCCCATCTTGTAACAAAATGAAACAATGAAAAGAATGAATGTATGATAAATAAATGATTACATTCAGAAATGGTGCTGTGAAAAAGAATGAGCTTACAAATACATTAAATGAATAATGATAGATATTATATTAAACTAAAACACATAACATGCAACCTGTGTTTTCTTGTACAATAGAATATTAAAATCATGACAACTTTATTTTTTATTTCAAAATATTTCAAAGAATTTTAGTGTAAGTTATTTATTTTTATTTAACTAGTTAGTGTTTGTCATTGTCCCACCCGATGGTCAATCTCAATGTAAGATGGTAAACTCAGTTTCACAGAGGAAGCCAATTTATGGGAAATAGTCCAAGCATATCTACCGGAAACATATAATACAACACATTTTGTTTAACAACATTCAAAATTTATCTTCCAATTGTACAGAGATATGTTGTAGTAAACAGTGGCGGCTGGTGGGTAATAGAACTGGTGGTGCACTTTACTAAAATGCAACAAAACATAACGAAATATCAAAAACGGCTCAATTCGTTGTACATCGGGTGCTCTCGGTAATCTTGGGCCGCTCGTGCGGCGCTCGAGAACCGACTCATTACTCGGTACATTTCTATGAACTATCTTTTGTCTCACGCGTCAGGCGTATTAATGCGTACCTCATACAAGATGCATTGGCAGTCCTCGTGCACTCGCCGTAGCGCACGATATGAGTTTAGTAAAGCACTCAAACTTTTTGACCATAATAAGGAAATTTAATTGTTTATACGTTTTTGTATGTTTCAAAAATTAATATTAAAATGTTAATTTAAAAATAAAGATGAAGTAATATTTTGTAATTTTTAAATCTTTTGAATTGGTGGTTCAGCGCACAAGTGCACTTAAGGTACAGCCGCCACTGGTAGTAAATCTTATTTCAAGTTATACAGGATTTGAAACCTGCCTATTACTGAAAACATTTTCAATTACTGTGAATACATAGTGTGGACATTATTTCGAATATATTTCTGGATTTTAGCTTTGATTATATGATGATATGGTATGGTTAATATATTAAAATATTTCATTCACTAAATCATATAAATTCATCTGTAGCAATATACCTAAATAACTAACTGAGCTCTCAGAGGTATAGTGTTGTTTATGAATATAAATGAAAATCTTGCTAATTCTGAAGTGACATTAAATATGAGTACATAATAATTTATAGCAATTTAGGTCAGGTATTCATGAAGAACACCCATCACAGACACAACATTCAAAGTATAACATCAGTACACTGAGACTGAATGTTTCCATCGGTGAAATAACTTTTATACCCACCTCATCTCAACAGCACTCGGGATATTGTTTCATCTCGAATGCCCCTCGTCTGAAATAATGAGCAAAATATGCCATTATCATGTCAACTTGATGATAAGCTAGCGTAGAAAAGTGATCTTCAAAAATAAAATGTAAACAACGCATAGCTCGAACAAGTTCATAATAATAATGTTATTGCACAATTTATGTCAATGAAGATCATTTTTCAAGACTAGCGTTATCTGTTATTGTATAATATGTCTACTAACCGTCCGGAGAGCGGTCTTTCTTGCGGTCCTTGTGTTTCCTGTGCCTCTTTCGTTCACGCTCTTCACCATCCAAAGGAGACCTGGATCTACTCCTGTGCTTCCTCTTTTTCGATTCTTTTTTATGTTTCTTCGAACCCATTTCTCGAATTAACTGTTTTACGTCTCAATTAAGAAATAACAAATCTCTTTTTATTTAGGTTACGGACGCGAAGAAGCCATTTGCAATAACTTTGATGTTCAAAGTCACTAACACAAGTTGTCAGTTGTCAAACTTGAACAGCAATGGCTTCTTAATAATTACTCAATAGTCATTTAAAATAATTACTCAATAGTCATTATGTTCGTTCCGTTCAGAACAGGCAAAGAGAACAAAGCCCATACAGCCACGTCTTTTGTATTTTGTATCTTTTATTTTTTTTAAATGTCAGGCCGGAGCCATATCTTATTCTCCTTTTTATTCTTGACCCAAGATTTTATATCAGTACTAAGCCATGTCTTCTTTTAATTTATCTTCTTGAATCCTTTTTTAATTATACGACCGAAGCCTTGTCTTTAATTAAAATATTTGTTTTTGTCAAATTCTTTCTTTTTTACATTCCGTCTTTTTTCAATGTCAAGTCCTTGTAATGTCATTTTTAGTACAATAATTAATTTGTCAAAATCGATATAACAGTCAAATTCTGAAAATAGCTGAAGTAGCTGAAAACAAATATCTTGAACAAAACGAACAAATTAGTATTATATACATGTGTAAAAATTACAATTAGATTTCATTTATAGTAGAAACAATAAAGCCATAAACTGGCAAGAAGCATTCTTGAATGCTTAGTATTTGCTGAAGGGAGCGCGGGATATCTTCAGCAGTTTTAAAAATACTTAAAAGTTGGTCTACAAGGACCATCCTTTGAATACTAAACTGTGGACAATCACAAAATATATGTTCGAGGGTTTCATCAGCACTATTGCAATATCTACAAGTTGAAGAGTCAAAAACACCAATCCTAAAAAGGTGAGCACCAAAACTACAATGTCCCAGACGCAAACGACAGATTGTGATATAATACTTTCTATGGCTATAGTCACTAGGCTGGGTAAACCAGGGAGAAGAGACCTTTTTCTTTATTGTAGCGAACCATTTTCGTTTTACCTTTACCACTTGATGCCACAAGTTGTAAAATTCTTTCTGTAACTTGAGTTTGAAGAGGGATAGAGTGTCTGAATAAGGAATTGGAAAATTTAAAAAGCTATGACTTAATTGATTGTGGGCCGGATTTGTAATAAATTTAGCTAAATAGTCTGCTTGCTCATTACCATGCACACCAATGTGGGCTGGTGTCCAGAATAGGACTATTTGCTTGTTTTGAGACAGTAGGTGATACAACTCTCTTATTTTATATATAACTTGAAGACCCGGCGAACTTCATATCGCTCTATAATCAAGAAATCTCTGTTACGTTTTTTTATTTATATTTTTGGAGTTTACCTATTAAAGCCATAAAACTCCGTGTTTTGAAGTGCGACAGAATGATTGAATATTAGTTAGTTGTCAGATCTAATGTCAAAAAAAAAGTTTGTATCAACAAATACTAATAAATTAAAAATTAATTTAAAAAAACATTATCCAGTGGACAAAATTGTGAATCTAAACAATTCCCAGATCCCCTTGAACACACACAAAAAATTTCATCAAAATCGGTCCAGTCGTTTGAGAGAAGTCCAGTGACATACACACTCACAAAAGAATTATATTTAGTTAGTTTTTGAATTTAATTGTGGTTTTTGTAGTGCTGTTAATAAACTTAAACTATCTGTTACTATAATCCACTTTTGATGAGTCTGTGTTTGAATGTACTTATAGCTGTATACACAGCTATGGAGTCAGCAGAGTATGTGCTTGTGAGTGGATTCAGCCTATGACTGAATCCACTTTTGATCTGACTATCGTAGACAGCTATAGAGACTGCTTCATTGTTCCTAGACCCATCTGTATATATCTGATGATATCCGTGCCACCTATCAAGTTCCCTATAAATGTCTTCCTTATACTTTAGAAGACTTTTGACTACAATTTTAATCTGAATAAATTTTGTTTCATATAACCCAGAGTAACAAGGCCATACCATGCTAGAAAATATATTGTGTTTATTAAAAATTTGTTCTGTTTCAGAAAAACATTGAAACACATGAATTAATATTGGCAGTCCTGTTAATAGTGTCCCACAGTTTAACAAGAAGTGGATGATTACTGACGGAGAGTAACCTTGCAAAAAATGTTGATTGTAAGTATTTAAACCTAAGTGCTAATGGAGGTATATTACATTCCACCTGAGTAGACACTATGGGAGTAGTTCGCATGGCACCCATTATAATACGCAAACATTTATTCTGTATCTTTTCTAATTTATCTACTATAGTTCTTACCCCTGCAAAACGAAAAAAAGCATATTCAAAATGACTCCTTACTAATGATTTAAACAATGTTAATAGAATCCTTGGATCAGCACCCCAATATGTGCTTGTTAAAGATTTTAAAACGTTACAAGCATTTAGCCCGAGATTCTAGAGTTTCAGCATACTTATTCCATCTAGAATTGTTTGTAAAAATAACACCTAAAAACTTTACGGAGCTCTCTACAGACATTACATTATTATTGAACAAAATATTTACAATCCCATTTCTAATTCCATTTTTTGAAAAGACAACAACTTTACTTTTTTCATTGCTGACCTCCAGCCCAAGGCTATCAAAATAGTTCTTTAGTCTTTGGAGAGCAACATTGAGGACTGATTGTACACGTAAAAATTTAGTATCAGAGCAATAAACAACTAAATCATCTGCAAACTGCAGATTAGTTACTTCACAACCCAGAGTTAAATTTAGCTGATGTATGAATAGGATAAAAAGCAATGGGCTCAATACACCACCCTGTGATACACCCATACAAGAATATCTTGGACCAAATAACTGATTGTTAACCTTAACAAACACCTTTCTGTAGTTCAAGAAATTAAAAATCAAATTTACAATTTTTCCAGGTACCTGTAGTAATAATAATATCGAGGATAATTTGTTCAGATCTACATTATTGAAACCCTACAATGTCAAGATAAACACCAACTAGTACTTTATTCTCGGAATGAGCATCGTGGATATCAAGACAGAAATGACGTAGACTCACACGCAGAACGGCCACAACGAAAGCCAAACTGATTGTAAGGTAAAAGATTATTACTTTCTATGTGAAAAATTAATCTCTGTTTAAGTAATTGTTCGAAAATGTTTCCAACACATGAACTCAGTGTAATAGGATGATAAGTATCAGTCAAATTAAAGTCTTTGCCAGGTTTTAATATTGGTACAAAACAGTCAGTTTTCCAATCCTCCGGGATAATAGAAGACGACCATAAACTATTTAATAAATTTAAAAAAATAGATAGAGTTTGAACATTTAAAAGTGTAAACATTCTGTAGGAAAGAAAGCCAATCCAGGCCACATGAAGAATCTTTTCTTGAGGCTAAAGCAGATTTTAAGTCTTGCATAGTAAAACAACCGATCATTTATGAATTATCACTATTTACTCTAAGAACATTATCTATACTTATTTGTTGTGAAACAGTATCCGGTGTGTATTTATATGAAAATGTTTGAACCCAATAGAGGTCAGAAAATAAGTTAGAACTCGGAAAGCTTTTTTGAATTTACTTATTTTAGTCCAAATGCGATTTATAGATGTCAAACGATTTATTGATGAGCAGAATTCAGACCAACTTTTACAACGTTCTTCTTTTAAAGTGCGTTTTTTAAAGGCTTGTGCTCGTTTGATATTAATGTAATTTTTACTATTAAGACTAGTTCTGAAATTAATGTAGGCGTTCTTGCAGTCTTCTACTACTTTTGAACATTTATTGTTCCACCAAGGTACTTGACACCTTTTTCTAGGACGGTTTTTATTACTATCAGTAGTGTTATGGTTTAAGCTGGGCCCGGAGAATTTGATTGCCAATAGAATAATTGCACAAAACTTTCTGTATGATTCAAGGAGATCAGTATTGTGAACTTTAAAGTTCAATAACATTTTATTAACATTTTGTTCATAACTTTCCCAATTTACTTATTTCAGATTGCTGTGAAAAGGAATGTTGTTCAAGGAAATAGAGGGCTCATGTTGATCTCTTACGAGAGTAAATTTTGTGATAGTTGGCAGATGATAACTGCCTAAAGAGTCCTGATGAACTTGCCAGTCACAAGAAAGAAATAAAGAAGGAGACACCATAGTTAAATCTAGAATGTTTGGTTTCCAAATATGAGAGCCTATAGTTGTTGGTTGACCATTATTTGAAAGTATTAAGTCATGGTCATCAATGGAATCCATAATAGCTCTGCCCCAAGAGTCTATGCGGATGCAACCCCAAAAAGTATGATGGGCTTAAAATCGCCTGCAATTATAAACGGTTTTGGAATACTGTACAATAAACGATCTAACTTCGCCTTTTCAAAAGCAGGACAACTATTATCAGGACTGTAAAAACTAACCAAAGAAATGCATTTATGTTTCAGTTTAATAACAATTACTACATTTTGTAACGAATCATCATAAAAAGTATCTAGTTTAGAGAAATGTATACCATTTTTAATTAATATTGCTACGCCATTATGATCATTACCGCAGTCATTCCTAATAATGGCATAACCACGTAAATTAAATTGAATGCTAGGCTTGAGCCAAGTTTCTGAAATAAGAGCTACATGTATATTATTTTGGTATAGAAAATTTTGAAACTCAAGTGTGTTATTTAACAGACTTCGAGCGTTCCACTGTACAATATTTAACCCTGGACAACTAACCTTCGTCAAATCGACGAAAACGCGACACAAATTAGGCTTTCAGAAAGCGGTTGTGTGCGGCAGGTAAGTTTTAAAGTTTTTGAAATATTCAATATTTAGTCGTCGTTTCGACGAATGGTTAGTGTTTGTGTCACTTTTCAAATTTAAATTGAATATTTTATTTCGCAGTTTTCTTTTTGATGGCTTCAAAACAACCACTATCGGAAGAAAATATTACTCGTTTACTGTTAGAAGAGGATGATACGAGCATACCGGAGGATTCATGCAGTGAAAATGAAGATAATTTAGAAGA